GAGTGTCGACGATGATGTCCCCGTGATTGCGGTCCGCAGGAGATGTTAACGATTTCGCCGCGGCTGGGGGTGTCAATGTGATGTCCCCGTGGTGGCTTACCGAGGAGGATGTTTACAATTTCGGCATGGCCGCGGGTGACAATGATGAAGTCCTCATGATCGCAGTCCACGGGAGATGTTTTTAACATGAATTTGCCGCGATCGCAAGTGTCGATGATGATGTTCACGTGATTGCGGCCCGCGGCAGATGTTCATGATTTCACCGCGGCTGTGAGTGTTGATGATGATGTCCATGTGATCGCGGTTCACGAGAGATGTTAACGATTTCGCCGCGGCTGGGGGTGTCAATGAGGACGTTCCCGTGATGGCTTCCCGAGTGGAATGTTTACGATTTCGGCACGGCCGCGGGTGACAATGACGAAGTCGTCATGATCGCAGTCCACGGGAGAGGTTTTTAACACGACTTTGCCGCGATCGCAAGTTTCGATGATGAAGTCCCCGTGATTACGGCCCGCGGGAGATGTTCACGATTTTACTGCGGTCCCGGATAACTATGATGGCTTTGACTTGGTTTATGAGAGATGTCCACGATTTCATCCAGGATCATGGGTGTCGATGATGATGTCCCCTTGATGTATAGGAGATAGTCACTATTACTTCCGCGATCGCAAGGAATTTTCACCACAGGGGGAGGGCCGCTCAAGTAATTTGGCCTAGGGCCGCAAGTACCCTAAATCCGGCACTGCACTTCTGGTATTGTTTGATTCATAATGAAATGAGGAAAGTCCTACAAAGGAAGGTTATCATAACCTGATAATTATTTACCGTACTTAAACTGGGATATTATGTAGTTTTTATATGTCTACTTAGGCCTACAGTATTTTTCACGCTGAATCCAAAAATGCAATCAGTTTTTGTCGGAGGGATTCCTATGTAGCCGTAGTGGCCGTAAAACGAAGGTTAAGATTACGAATATAAGGATAATTGAGCGGTACTGAAGGTAATGGTAATATGGCGTGGTCTGGATGGGTCCGTACTGAGTGAGAAGAGCAAACAGCTGTTTATACTTGATCTAATGCGGAATGAAATCAAATCAATTAGTTTTGAAACCAAATAATCAGTTCTTATTTAAAGGCATGTGATGAAGGTAGGTCGGGTTTTATGCGGATTCGTGACTGTATCAATTATCAATTATCAATTATTTAAGATGGGGACGCCACTATGTGCTTATTTTAACCCAAATATAAGTGAAGGATGAGTGTACAACGATATAAACAACTCAGTTCTTTACATCGTTCTGAGTGTAGGATGAGTGGCGCGATCCACTGTATTAAGTGTTTTGAAGTGAGAGATTAGGAAGGTAAAGGTTAGGTTATAATGAACCGACTCATTAATTTATGCTACTTCCAGACTGTTTTTGCACAATTAAATAGTGGGTGAAACACAATGAAATAACAATATCAAAAATGCACAAGCAGGTAAAGGTTCATTATAACCTAACCTTTAACTTAGGCCTACCTAATCTAACCTAACTTCAAAGAACTTAATACAGTCACGAATCTGGATAAAGTCCGACCTATCTTCCTCACATGCCTTTTCTGACATAAGTTAAAATGCAATTTAAACATTGATAGGCCTATTAAGGTTGGGTTGGGTTAGGTTGGATTAGATTAAATGTTACATAATTTATTAGCTGCTGATACATGAAATTATGCACTGTGGCACGTTTTCACTTTAAGACACAATGGGATTATCTACTATGGGATTATTGACTATGGCACGTTCATTAACAGACGTTGAGGATTGGAATGAGGACAATCATGTCGGTAGTGGCCTAGCTTCTATTACTGATATTTTACGTGAATGAATTCTATTTTGTTTTGTAATTTATGTTGATGTGATTAATAGTTTATGTATGGTTGTTGATTTATTGTATTTTTTAAACAGCACCAAAGTCCATTTTCTTCGATACCCCGGTCTGACAGGCCCACGGGAATTTTCAAAAACGCATGTTGGCAACACTGTTTACTTGGTAGATTCCATTCCCCCAATACCTTCCCCCCTTTTCCTCCCCTACCTATTGATATATCGTTTGTTCATTTTGCATGGGTGCCAAGACCTTGACAGGTTGTTTGTTCATAAGTAACATGTCCGTCTCAGAAGCCCAGCGTTAGTGTATTTTAAAGCGGGGTCTCACAGACCGAGGGTTTCGGTTTGTGTGTTTCTAAGCGGGGTCCATTATTTTTCAAATGGGGTCTCACAGACCGGGGGTTTCGGTTAACGTCAGCCTAGGTGGGGTTTCGGTATTAGTGTTAAAAATCTAGTTATTACATATTGTATATCTGATTTTACTCTCATGGCGTCGTGTGTGGTTTTGTCTGTTTAGTATCAAATGTAAACAACTGACAGCTGTTTCCACTCCACAAACCTTCCACCCCTATTAGTATTAGTCGCCACTAGAACTTGGACTCGCCCATACCACAAATAAAAATCAACAAAACTGACACTTAATATTAATTATTTAACTTAGGAATCTCTCCGACAAAAACTTATTGCATTTTTGGGTTCAGCGTAAAAAATACTGTAAGTAGACATATAAAAATTACATAATATCCCAGTGTATGATAACCCAACCTAACATAACCGCCGCAACGTGCTGTATAAGGGTGTTCTCCGGATAATACCAAACTACCATCATTTTTAAGTAGGCCTACCATTCATTTAAATTTTCTAACTTAGCTCTACAAACCATTGTAACTTATTTTCATTTGTTCTAACTTAATGAAGTTTGATGTTAAAAACCTATTTTTTAATTGGAATCATCGGCATATACGGTAACTTAGGCTAGGTAAAGCTGATCGTTGTTCTTATAAGACAGAACCATAAGTCATCCTTGAGATATAGCCATAAAAAGCAAAGGTCCTAATAAATTATCCCTGTGGGACACCATATTTTACTAAGTTCCAGGTCTGAAGATATTTGTTAATTTTTTATTCGGTGACAAATGTTTTAAGTTACTTCTATGCTTACATCCTGATATCTATTTATGATAAATGTAACTTAACTTGAACCAATTTAGATAGGCCTACACCTAAAATTACATTACAGTAACCGGTATTTGTTTACTTTAGGGGCTTCTAAAGAATTTTGAAAAAAATGTTTTTTTCTCATTATATTTGGTCTATTTTGAACACTTTTTACATTTGGCACTTTTGGGGCAAACGCCTATTTCACCCTGAAAATCGCGTTTGAAAATTGCAAAAAGTGCTAAGAATATGCGTAGTTTTTTTTACTCTTAATGTGTTTCTACTATTACTTAGGACCTACAGAACTAAATATAATCCAACCTAACTTTATCTAATCTAATCTAATCTAACCTAACCAAACCTAACCTAACTTAACCTAACCTAACTTAACCTAACCTAACCTAACCCAACCCTACCTAACCAATGCTTAGCAATATGCCGAAAATAGCGGATTATTAGTTAAACCAAAGTTAGGTTAGGTAAGGTTAGTTAAGGTTAGTTAAGGTTAGGTTAGGTTAGGTTAGGTTAGGTTTTTTAAGGTTAGGTAAGGTATGGCTAGTTAGTAAGTTATTATTTAAATCAATTAGCCTAAAATCACCCCAATATTTGAAATCCAACCTAACCTAACCTAACTTAACCTAACCTAACCCAACCCTACCTAACCAATACTTAGCAATATGCCGAAAATACTTAGCGGATTATTAGTTTAACCAAAGTTAGGTTAGGTTAGGTTAGGCTAGTTAAGGTTAGGTTAGGTTAGGTTAGGTTTGTTAAGGTTAGGTAAGGTATGGCTAGTTATTAAGTTATCATTTAAATCAATTAGCCTAAAATCACCTGAATATTTGAAATCTAACCTAACCTAACCTAACTTAACTTAACGTAAACTAACCTAATTATATTTAAACTAAACTAAACTAACCTAACCTAACCTAACCTAACTTAACCTTACTTAACCTAACCTAACCCTAACCCAACCCTACCTAACCAATGCTTAGGTTAGCAATATGCCGAAAATAGCGGATTTTTAGTTAAACCAAGGTTAGGTTATAATAATAATCATAACATCTGCTTATTACTACAAAAATAAAAACACATTTAATGAATGGCAAGGGGGATAAAACCTGATTTTCTAAGTAAAAATGGCAATTGCTGAAAAATTTTCGCGATTTTCAAACGCGATTTTCAGGGTGAAATAGGCGTTTGCCCCATAAGTGCCAAATGTAAAAAGTGTTCAAAATAGGCCAAATAATGAGAAAAAAACATTTTTTTCAAAATTCGTTAGAAGCCCCTAAAGTAAACTAATACCCCGTAACCTTATATTTTTGAAATGCCAATAAGTTATTCTTTAATTGTTCTAGCCTATTCAAATTAGATGATTAACACTGTAATGATCTTGAGAAGTCCATAAATATGCCACTTGTATGTCCCCTTGCCAACTGACTCTAACTTATAACTTATTAAGTTACCAAAAACTTAACTTAACTAAGTTACTGATTCTGAAAGAAACTGAAGCACTTATAACAGACCTTCCTGGCCTAAAATTGTGCTTCAAGTCACCAAATAGGCGTTATGTTGATCTGGATATGATGGGATTAAGTTTTAATACAGGCCTAAGCTTAGTATAGTTTTAGTTAATATGCTAGCATATAGTTTTTAAGGTTATTTAGTATTAGTAGCCTATAGAAACTATTTACCAAAATATTTTTGAAACAGAAGGAAGCAGAGCCGAGAAACATTTTCAGGATAATCTTTTTTATGGATTGGAATTATCTTGGCTAAGTTATTTAAAGTTGTGCCCAAACAAGCCAGAAATAAAGGAATTAAGTTTATTCAGGTGGCATAAAACTTTGGCTAAATGTGGGCTTGCTCCCTTTAATTAATTAATACTGTAGTAGACACTTCGTCATTTAGGCCTAAAGCCTTTGGGACCAGCTAGGCCTAGGCCTACTAGCCCATAAGTTTATGATTACTTACCTCGCCTTGCAGGAGAAGAGTTAGGACCCCAAATTATAAACGCCCCAATGCCTAATGCAAACAACGTAAGTCCAGATAACACAAAAATTTGATCTTTATCCATGATAGAAAATGTTTGTCCAAGATTTTCATATGAAAACATATAATATATTGAAATTCGAAATGTCCGTCAGAAAGATCACCTACACATCATTGGCTCATCATTGTTTTGATTTGGATTTAATTTTTAACCAAAAACATAAACCAAACCAATCCGTTATCTTTCCGTCTGTTCTGTTGTAGTACAGTCTTGTCTTACGCCTGCAAGCTGGGCTGGATTACAAACCATGAAGCTTTTAGTTTGTGTTTGAGTCTCCAGTTATTTTTTTTTAGATAACGTAAAAAGCAATCCCACTGAGTTAGAAATACAAAAGAATATGTGTAAGTAATGCAATTCAAACATTAATTGAGCAGAAGAGCATATTGATTCAATAATTTTGAGAAGTTAAATGATTGCTCCCAATGGTCTTGAGTTCACAAAAATGGGATGTCTTCTTGTTATACCCCATGGTGGAATCCTTCCACCATGGTTATTCCCAAAGTCTAAGAGATGTCTACTTGTAATATATAGTTAATCATCTAGTTCACGTCAATAATAGGATAATTTTATCCATACCTACTTGCAGTATCTAAAGTAAATGCTACATCTGATTCTCAATAAATGAATGTAAATGAAATGTGTACCTACTTGCAGTATCGAAAGTCGCAATAGTAGATCTGTTTAACATAAATAGGATGTTTACTTGAAATATGTATCCAAAGTTAATGCTACAGGTTCATATCAAATGGGATTTGTACTTGCAGTATCCAAAGTCATGTGTTGAAGTGTTAGTTAGTTTGTGAATTATAGATAGTATTAATTAGTATAATATATTCCAAATGTTTGTACTGGAGTAAAAGTCAATTAACTACTCGAAGCACCAGATCTAAGATCAACAGAAAATTGAAAATAAAATGAGAACTACAGTAGAGAGTTTATATAATATGGGCTGTATAGTTGAGAAGGAGGCATTGACCATTGTCTTCGAATGTAACCCGGTGTAGGTAGAGCCACCCCAACGGCGGCCACCATGTTGTCGAATCATAGTCCTGGGACGCGGCCGCCTTTAATTCCAGTCCGCGGCCTTCGAAAGTGGCAACGTCGCAAGTAGAGTGTAATTTGGTCAAATTTGGTTAGGGGCACGTTTTCATTATCTTAAGGCCGCTAATTGCTCAAGCGCCCTCGACAACAATGACCGACGTAACACTGGGCATGTCAAGTGTCCTAGTTCGTGACTCGGCCGTCACCACCCCGGAGCGCTGACGTAGCGGTGGGTAGGGGAGTTAGCCGAGACCGCCGGACCGGACAAGGGACCGCCACCGGACCGGACATAGTCTGTGGCGAGCGAGAGGTTCGCGCACACCGATCATTGTTTAGGCTGTGTGTCGAATCCAATAACGTATCCGGACGAAGGCGTGCGATACATCTATTCGAAAATCGAATAGAGAAATATTGTGATACGTAAGTACACCGTTATCGCTAGTGTATACGTTTAATCCCTCTTTATATTTACTTTGGCGAGAAAGGTTATACTTTAATCGTAAAGGTATATCGTTAAGGACTTAGACTATACTATATTATCGACCGACGCTGCGAGTGCAGTGTCGCAGTAGCCTACACCTTTAAGTTTATTTATCTAAAGCGATTTTATTTTATTTCATATTAAGTATCCTATTTTATTTATTTTCCTAGAGCCAAGAAGTGCATTGGCATATGAGACCAGACTTATCTTATTTCGATATTTAATTATCGCGAGTTAGCGACATTTCTGTTGAATGCGAGAGGATTATTTTTAGTTTTATTTTAGAAGTGACATCTTTCGTTAAGCCTAGGAGCTGGCTGAATATTTTCGTGTCCTATTCTACTTCGCATTTTCATTTTAGTTTGTATCTAGCTGTTCTGTGTCAGTGTGTCGGGCTGTGCTGACACCGTGCTATACAGTAGTTGTAATTAGTGTTCGGTGCGTTGATGTGCCGACCTAGGAGGATTAATCCTCCTAGGTGCCGACTTACACACGGTGTACTCGTGTACTGGTAGATCGACGCAATTCATAGCATATAATTTACGAGGGCCGAGAAGCAGTAGCGAGCGACGGAGACTGTTAGCGTGAGAACCCTGGACTACTCGAGCTGTCCGAGCGAACGGAGGTAAGTTTAGGTTAGGTGACCCTACCCGCACTAAACACCTGACAAGGGTTGTAACAGCTGTTTGGTTTCAGGCCCCCTGAGTAAACAACATCAGTATCCTCACTAAAGCCAAAAAAAACTTGAGGTAACGCACGCATAACGAGACTCAAACAGTTTATAAAGAGAACTCATAATAAGTTCAGTTTATATAATGCGACATGGAAGCATATGCACGCTCCTATGTATGTAGAAGGCAGAGGGTTCCTACAACTCGCTCGAAAAGGGAGTTAAAACACAGGTACCTAGTTTGAAATACAATACGAACCACGAGAGAGAAAAGAATTATCAAATTTTGAACCAGGTGCTGAATTAAATTGCGTATAAAAGGATTTAACCGAAAACATTAAAAAAAAATGAGAACGCAAAGTGAAGTGAACACCAAGACCACGACGCGGACAGCAAAGATTGATTACACTATTTAATAGTAGTGTTAGTATGGCACCGAGAACAGCGAGTACCTTTACCTTTAATACCTGCTGCGACGTCGTTGACCAGAATTTCTGGATAGACTGTGTCAAGGATAATACTAAAATATATGTACACTATTTACAATACTTTAGGCAAGATGGCGTTGAGCCTATACTCGGTGAAACTCATAAAAATATTCGTCAAATATGAGTACAGTGGTCTGTCGATTAGCCAGGCTTTGGCCTTTTTTCAAAGTGGACGGTTCACAAGTCTAAAATCTTTGGGGAGAGATCATCATTGTACAATATCTTCAGAGCCCTAATGCGGAAACAGCTTTGTGTTTTGGACAGCCTGCAATAGGGTAGGCCTATGTGAAGCTGGTCCCTGTTACGAAAGGTTGTGGGAGTGGTGGAATTCCCCTTGTTATGAGCTGGTGTATAGGTTATCCCTCACTGGGACGGGTGGCGTTGTCCTGTAATCCAGCTTACTAGGAGGTCACGAAATGTGGATATTTATAGGCATGCACTGTGTATGTGATGCGTACTCCCTGGTGTGGATTAACGTACGTACGAGTGAGTATACTACGACTATCCGCAGTATTTTCCTGATAGTTAGACCAATTCGTACCAAGGCAAAAATGTGGTTCGGATCCACTATAAACTGTAGGGTCCCTTAGTTACCATTAGCTAGCTGTATGGGCTATTAATTAACAGCTGTGTCTAAGGAGTGTCGGCCGACCCACTCCTCTACACCGAATACAGCACATAGGGTGTGATTGGTCCAACAGACCGAAGATACACCTGCCAAAACGTCAGTGTTTGTACGACTGAGACTGCACACAATCTCTTGGGGTTTTTCGGTTGAGGCTCAGTCCGTTTGGTTGGAACCAAGTATTTGCCAACTCAAAGACTTCTGCAGCCTTTGCCCTGGCGAAAACTGGAGTAGATCCTTTTGGCAACAATTGTTGTATCGTCAGCAAATATTAGGACACTTCCAATGACACTAAGGTAATTTATCATTACTAAAAGAGGACCGGTCCCAATACTGAGCCTTGCGGGACACCATGCTCAACTAATCCAGGTGAGGAGTTAGCTCTACATATCGACAGAACTTGTCTTTAGTCACTGAGATATGACTTGAAGCATATAGATAAAACATGAAGGCATCAACACTGCCGCCGATCCCAATGTTTTCTAATTTTTTTTAGTAGCATCTTATGGTTGACGGTGTCAAAGGCTTTGCTGAGATCTGCAAGGACCAAAGCAGCAGAGCCCTATCCTCCGAATGTATCTAGGACATCTCCAATCAGCTCGGAGACAGTTAAGATGGTGAAACGACCACGCCTGAACCCATGCTGGGAACCCAACCCACAAGCAGAGAGTTGCGCTCCAAGTAGTCCAATAGTTGCCTATTCATAACGGTCTCGAACACCTTTGCAATAACTGGAATTATTGAGATGGGCCGATAACTGCTGTTGGATGCCGGATCACCCTTTTTAAAGACTGGGGCTGTTATATTGACACCTTCAGTGAATTGGGAAAAACTCCGCTCTGTAAACATGCATTGCTATATTTTGCTATATTGCTTCTGATATGGGTGAGGACAATTGGACCTGTGTGTCAAATTACATCCAGGGTATTCTCCGCGCCAAGAAGCTTGACCTTGACCGGGATGCGGTGTAGGTCATAAAGAATCTAAATGCCAAAAACGGTGCTAGCCCTGAGGGCTTATAGGTCACATGTTGGCCTGACTTGAGGTAATGTGACAAACAATTCCAAGTTTGTGTCCAACAGAGTAGAGGGGGTTTTTTAGTGAGTAGTCTGATAATTTCAGGAGTCTCACACTACAGGTTGGCTACCTGTGTGCGTAAAAGCATTTTCCCTCCTCTCCCTAAACAAAATGCATTAGTATATATTTTCTTCACTAATTGCTTATATAACTAAAGACGAGTCATTGTTTATGGTTAGATCATTCTATTTGGTTAAAGGAGCTTTTAAATTATCCTTTCGCCGCGGAATTAAAAGTGTCGTAATTTTAAATGTCATGTTGTGTCTTGAGTTCGACCACTTTGATCGATGTTGTCTTGATCTGACATCACCTTAGGGCCTCTTGCTAGAGGCCATATACCTGCACAGCCACCTTAGGCGGCTCTGATACCTGACTAATATTTCAAGAAAGCCCAGGTCAAATTTAATCTATTAGTGATTTCAGTTTAAATAACGTAGCTACATGGTATTTTTACCAAACAAGCTGCTTCTAGGCAAACAAGAAAAGAAGAAGAGTTTTGAAAAAGTGATGTGGTTTGGTTTCTTATTCTTCCTTCAATCTTATCTTGATTCTTGATTTGATTTCAAAACAACAAAACCAAAAGTAAAATTATTATTATTATTTTAGTAGTAGTTGAGTGTCTATTGTGTGTCAAAGAATGTAGTATGTCTTGCGTTTGTAAACAAGTTACCTGTATCTGTTTGTGAGAATGTAATATCAAATTTAGAAGCGAAAACTTATAAAGATGTTAAAGTCCTGAGGGCAAGTTTTACAAGTTCTAGCTTAAACAAGCTCATCTTTGGAATTTAAGCAAACACATTTTGTGCTTGGCTTGATATAGTTAATTAGTATTTGTTAACTCATTAAGGTAATGTTTTTAAAATTTCTAAATATTTGACGGGTAGGGCCTACAAAGAATTAGAGTTAGGCCAATACAATTTTTTTTTACCATGATAAAATTAGGGGGCACTCCCACAAGTTTTGACCAAGCTATCAGGTTCCTCAATTTTATTCATCTTTCCATTCCTCGAGGGTTAAAACTTATTTGTATTAAATTATTTAATGATTATTAAGTTAAATTACTGTAACCAGGGAACACAGAACAACAAGGCAGAGGGAGTGACAGGTCAAGTTGCCACCATGAATTTTGACAAGATGGTGGTCACCTTACCACTATTGATGAGCGTTAACCACTAGCTCCGCCTCCCAATTGGCTGTTGCCAGAATAGCTTAAGTAACATTTACTGGGTAGGCCTACAGTTTCTTAACTGGGCTACGCTAATATTGATAGAAACTATCGAATTGAAAATATTGATAATTTATCTTATAATTATAAAAATAAGTAATAAATTATAAAAATTATAAATTATAAAAATTATAAATTATAAAAAATAAGATTATAAAAATAATTGAAAATATTGATAATAAGTTAAGCTTAATTGATAATTTAAAATATATATATAACATTAAACTATCATAGCCTAACCTAACCAACCAAACTTGCTGATGGTGAAATAATTGTATGAAGGTTTCCTAATCAAATCAATAGTTTCAATCAATATTAGCGTAGCCCAGTTAAGAAACTGTACCCCATTTACTTGATCTGATTAGATTAGAAGTGGAAGTAGATTAACTTAGACGGGGACGGGTGGCGTCGCCCTGTAATCCAGCTACTAAGAGGTCACGAATTGTGGATATTTATAGGCATGCACTGTGGATGGGATACTCTCTGGTGTGGATTAACGTCCCCATGAGTGAGTAGGCCCTACTATGACTAGGCCTATCCGAAGTAAGTTACCATCCTGATAATTAGACCAATTCGTAGGCCTATATACCAAGGCAAAAATGTGGTTCGGATTCCACTATAAACTGTAGGTCCCTTAGTTGCCATTAGCTAGCTGTATGGGCTATTAATTAACAGCTGTGTCTAAGGAATATGTCGGCCTTAGTCACTAACAAGACTACAAGATCGCGCCACTCATCCTACACTCATCTCCATTCATACTTGGCTTAAAATAGGCTACAGTACCTACTTTGTATGGTCGCCATTTCATCGAAAATTATTAAATTACCGTATTTTAAAAGATGGCACTAAAGTGAATGAATGAAACAAATAAGTTAGTATTAGGTCTATATTTATTTCAGGTTATAAGATAAACCAAAGTAAATAAATTTCACGGTTTTTAAACTTAGCCTAAGTTACTTAATTTCAGCCATTGAGTATAGGCCTACTTTGTTTTAGCGTTAAACCTGTTGGATTGTAGCTTAGTTGGCCTGAAATGTTAACCCTAGAGTGGTGTCTTCAGTCTGTGAGTCCGATGGCGTAATATTTTCTGCAATTGTGTACTTTGGTCCTCTACACCGAATACACATAGGGTGTGTTGGTCCAACAGACCGAAGACAACATAAAAAGAATAATTAGTACTAGCCTAAAAACTGAACAAATCAATCAAGTTTGTGGCACCATGGAGAACATCTCCTGCGGTCGCTGAGTCATCATCAGCATCGTGTCATGCCGACAAAAAGCTTAACATCACCCACATTCGCGGGGACACCATGATGTAATATGATGGTTAAAATACCGTAGCCAACCTTTAGTCTCCAGTTTAAAATAATTCTTTTACTGCGACCTAGGTTTCAGCACAACATTGTGCTATCATCAGACGGTCCAGTCAGAAATGTTCAGTCCATTGCACGTCGTTTAGGCAAAACAATATATAGTTCACAAGACACAAACACAAACAATTAGGCCTACACATTTACCGATCAGTATTTACTTAGGAAGAACGGATACATTTTGTAAAATCACTGGACGCGACGTGTGACATCCAAGCTACAACAACGGGCAACGGACAATATTTTCCTGCCGTTGCGGGTACATTATAATTATCTCGCCACCTCTTAGCTTCAGCCCTGTTCTGGACCCACTTGAATTAAGCTGCATGTTCACTTTTGTTGTCTTTGTTTCAGATCCAAAATTATTTATTGCCAAATTCTCCTGCCCACAATAAAAAATGAGGAACTCATTTCGGAGACAGATAAAGACCCTTAAAATGTACTTCATGTCTAGGAGTATAAAAAAACAGGTAGGTCTAATTCACTAAATATTTTTGAACTAATAAAGAATAGCCTAGTTATGTGCTTGAGTTAACTCAGTACAGATAAGTTACCTAATGGCTGGCTAATATATTATGAAAAAGAAAAAAAAAACATTCAGGAGTAGTAAAGGGGTCGTCTCGGCCGCCTGCTACAGTTTAGAGCCAGTTTCAAATAACTCACAAAAATACACGTGGAAATAGCATACAATAGCCTATCAAAGTACTTGATTGTACTCAGGTAAAAGGGAAATAAGACGGGTAGTCCGTAACCAGAGGTCGGATGACTAATTTAAAACTCTCTACCGGTACTGTGTCTCAAATCAGACCTATTATCATATGCCTACCTTTATACAGGGTTAGTAAAAAGTGTGGAGACCCCCTGTTATTTTTTTAACGGCCCATACTTGAAAAACTAAACTCGGCACACCATTATGGCATGTTATGAAGTACTTTTTGGGCATAACCGCCACTTGGCGTTCATCCCCAAAATGGGGGATTTAGGGGGAAACTAAAAAATTTCAAATAAAAAGACCCATCGAGTGACCCCTCATTTTGAAGGGCCTGGTAAAAGAAAACCATCAACGCAAACTAGAGGTCTCTATCTCAGTTCAGTAAAAAATGGCAGCCAATTGAAATTCTCATAAGTTCCCAAACCCAAAATGGGGGATTTTGGGGGAAACTCACAAATTTTAAATGATAGGGTAAGCCCCATCGAGTGACCCCTCATTTTGAAGGTCATAATAAAAACAAAGTAACAACGCAAACTATAGGTCTCTATCTTAACACGTTCACTGCTAATGACGCACTTGTGCGTCATAAGTATATTAGCAGATATATAATACATGATGTATATAATTACATAATATATTTTAATCCACAATTTATAGTATAAAATTTATTTAATTAAAGATATATTGTCACTCAATTAACATGATCATGTTAATGTTTATGTTTTTTAGCCATTTATAAAAGTATTACATATCATTAGCAGTGAATGTGTTAACACAGTAAAATATGGCAGCTAATTGAATATAAAATTGCAATTTATTTCCAATTTCTAAAGATTTTAATCAGCTTCCATTTTTTTACTGGATTGAGATAGAAACCTCTAGTATGCGTTGTTAGTTTTTGTTTACCAGGACCTTCAAAATGAGGGGTCACTCGATGGGGCTTATCATTTAAAGCTTTTGAGTTTCCCCCAAAATCCCCCATTTTGGGTTGGGTAAGCAAGTGGCTATATTAGGCTTAAAAAGTACTTCATAACATGCCAAAAAGGTGTGTAGAGTTTAGTTTTCCTAGTGTGAGCCGCTACAAAATTTACAGCAGGTCTCCAGACTTGGAAAGGTGTAAGTTAAATTGAACTTCTGAGAATTTCAATTGGCTGCCATTTTTTACTGGATTAAAATAAAGACCTCTAGTTTGTGTTGTTGGTTTTATTTTACCAGGACCTTCAAAATGAGGGGTCTTTGTATTTGAAATTTTTGAGTTTCCCCCAAAATTCCCCATTTTGGGGACGTACACCAAGTGACGGTTATGGCCAAAAAGAACTTCATGTCATAAAGGTGTGCCGAGTTTAGTTTTTCTAGTATGGGCCCGTTAAAAAAATAACGGGGGGTCTCCACACTTTTTACTAACCCTGTATATGTTTTTAGGTAGGCCTAACTTATTTTTTATAGGAATTACAGAGTTTTATTGGAATTAAAAAAAAAATCAGAAAGCAAGTGTGGAGTGTTTGTGTGTAATAAATCAAAATTATGAGAGAAAAATGAGTAGGTCATGTGAACAAGAAGAACCAGAATAGAATAATGTTTATTTGTACAATATAAGGAATTATTTAAAAATCATCAGCTGTAGTAATTAATTTTAAACAGGCTAAAGAAAAAAATAACTAATAGAACTGAACATACTCCAGGCCTTGAAGTGTCCTCACTTCAACAGTTTCCTGAGCAAAGCACAGGAACACAAAGTTTTGTTGTAGGCCGGCTATAGCAGCTGGTTGCTTTTTCCTACTTTTGCTTTTCAACCTATACCATCTTTCCTGGGGTACAACTTAAAAACTTTTGCTGGAGACCACTGAAGTCCTAGCTCTTTGAAATGGTGATCATCAGAGTTTTGAAGGAACTTTGGTGTTTCATGATGAGATTGAAGAATAGAAGTTAACAAGTTTCGAGGGTTCAAACACCTCCTCAATTTCAAGTATTCTTGTTTCAAAAATTCAACAAGTTGATGTTGGAGGCTGAGCGTTTCCTTTGTGGTTTGGGATGAAGAGTAGCTATTGGTCAGAGATCCATCGGAAGATATAACCACTTGACTGGATTGCTTGACTGTCTTTACTGTAGTGGTTTCACTGTGGATTGGGTTAACGGCAGCACTGTCTGTCGATTGGATAGCAACCGGGTCAGTAGGATGGGTGACAGCATTATCAGTAGGGTCTATAACAGCATTAACAGCATGGTCACTTGGGAAGACAGCAGTGTTGGTAGGATGGATAGTAGCTCTATCACTTGTCAAGGTAGTTGAGCTCACTGTTGTATCTGTATTCGTCGGTTGAGGTTTTGTCACTGTCACTGTGGTATTTCTAATTTTTGAGTTTGCGAACTTAGGCATAGTGTTTGCCACCAGCCTCTTTATTGTGATGAGTTTTGTTTCAGGTTGTATAAGCTGGGTGCCTTTGGTTTGAAACTCACTTGATGGGTTTGGTTTGGTTACATTCATTGCAGTGGTGTTCTCTGAGGTTGAGCTGGACTTGATGAGTTCGGGTTGGTTACATTCATTGCAATGGTTCTCTGAGGTTGAGCTGGACTTGATGAAATGGATGAACGAGGAACATCAACTGTCAACTTTTCAAGGACGAGAGCAGGTTGAGCTTCGACTACCATTTTACCCGACATAGTTTGGAGATCAATTAAAATCTGCCCTCTGTTGGTAGTTACATGTTGATTGATTTCTGTTAGTTGGGTATTGGACTTGGTTCTTTTTAAGTTAAGATCCTAGCTGCATGTTCGGTTATTAAATTACACATACTGCCCGAGTCAAGAAGAGCTCAAAACACATGTGGCTCATCAGAAGAGGAAGTGATTTTTACTAACAATGTTTCAAGTAAGACAGTATTATTTTCATTGAGATTTGTTTGCATAGACTGATGTGGTGACACTGGAGAAACGGATGTGTTTGGTTTCATCTTAGACGATTCTTGATCATCAATGTGATTGTTTAACTCGTTAGAACTAAGTGAAACTTGGTTACTTTTGACATGGTCAAAATGCAACAGTGTGTGGTGCTTGTGATTTCCACACTTTTTGCAAGATGACTTAGATAGACAAAATTTTTATGCATGTAGTCCAATACATAAAACACATTTTTGAGATTGTTTAACCAACTGGTACCTTTTCATGTGGGGACAAGGCAAGGAATTTTGAACACGAGTAGATTTTATGACTTAGTTGGTTACAAAAAAAAAACAAAAAAAACATGTATTTGGTGTTGGTCAACTGTCTTTTTGAGTATTAAACAAAGGTTTGGCCACATTCACTGTAGTAGTTCTCTGAAGTGGGAACCTTTTGTTAGTGTTCAAGGAATATTTGGGTGTCATTTGTTGTTCACTACTGGTCATGTTTTGGGACAGCATAGCATCCTCAAAATAAGTGCATTCATTATTAAGGAAAGTAATTATCTGTCTTGAAGTAGGCAATGAATGATCTGATGTATCAAATTTGTTACAAACTGATTCTAATTTGTGACAAAGATTAAGATCCAACTTTCTTAATAAGACTACGGACAACAACAAGTTCTGAGTCTTGGCCATCATAGTTCAATGCTGATAAAGCTTGAGTGTTTTCATTGAAACGATTGACAAAATCTCTCACACCAGTGATGTTTGAACTAGAAATGTTACGTAGATCTAGCAGTTGATTTAAATGTAAAAGTTGTAGATGCCTGTCATTGTGGTATCTTTCTCTTAACAAATTGTAGGCCTATGCTACTGCATAATTGGGTCCAGTAATTTGGAGACTTCGAATCAAATTTAGTGGCTCTTTGCCCAATACACTCAAAAGGTATTGAAATTTTATTACACTAGACAAAGAGTCATTGGTGTGGATAGTGGAGTCATAGAAATTTATGAATGATGTCCAATTAGTTAGATTTCCATCAAATTTTGAAAGTTCAAATTTAGTTAAACATACCTGAGATTGAGCTGGGCTGCAACCAACCTTGGGCGAATCCGGGCTAGAGCCAATTTCAGGAAGCAGTGATTTTATGTAGCTTGTAATGTGGATGAATAGGTAATTGATTTGATCTTCATCTTGACTTATAGTTTCATTATCCAAATCATCTTCACTTGATGTACTTACAATTTGCTGAAAATAAGAATGAAAGTCTTCTTTCTTCTTCTGGGCTTCTTGCATAAGAGTCTTTCAGGCTTTGTGTTGCACAAATGTTAATGTTTCTTCTTGTTCAAGTTGATCTATGATGTTTTTATTTTGTTCATACAAACTTTAATAAAAGATGTGAGTTGCATATAAGTTTCAATTTTAAAATCAATATTTGGAGATACCATTGTACAAACATGATGAGATAAATTTAAAAAATTCACAAAGTGTATTTGAGAGGGTTAAGAGTTCCAATATGGAAATAAGAATTCAGTTAGGTAAGAGTTCAGAGGCACAGAAAACAATGGGTAAAATGAGGAAATATTATAAAAAGATTTCTACTGGTTGAGTGTAATTCCAAATCGCTTAAGTAATATCCGGCTCAAAGGACCATTAAATAATGTGGAGTGTTTGTGTGTAATAAATGAAAATTATGAGAGAAAAATGAGTAAGTCATGTGAACAAGAAGAACCAGAATAGAATAATGTTTATTTGTAATAGGTAACAATATAATGAATTATTTAAAAATATCAGCTGTTGTAATTAATTTTAAACAGGCTAAAGAACAAATTAACTAAAAGAACTGAACAGCAAGTTTCAGAAATTTATTTTAAATACAAAATAACACAAGGCTTGTCTGCAGCTGCATACAAGGTCACATTTTCAACAGTTTCACATTTTACTCATTCAAAACCATATGAATTCCATATGAACAAATTATCTCTACATTCCACTTCATGTTCACTTCCAAAGAGGAAACAAAGCTAACATCTTGGTTGAATAAAAGCTTTATCATAAGTTTCATTGAAGCATGATTTATAATATTAATAATTTATTTTTTTGCATAGGGTCTTGCAATTAACAAACTAATGGAGATTGTGAAGAGCTGCAATGATGAAGATATGATTAAATTTCTGATTGGGGCTGATATACCAGGTTTGCTCTGCGACATAATGAACAACCACGATCCTAAGCTTATTGTGTAAGTTACTTTATACAAAATTAACCATTTATACTAACCATATTTACCATTTATATGGTTTACGTTTATATTAACCATTTAGGTATTGATATTTTCAAATCCGAAAAAGCAGTTTCAATCTTGATGAGGATCAATTCTGGACACAGTGGTAATTTGGCATTGGGCTTCAATAAATAATGATCCTAATACTAATGAAACAGACAATCTTAGTCAGTAACAGAGTTACACAAGGCATCTCACAAGAGGATTCTTTCAACAGAGTCATCCTTCACTCAGATTGGGGTTAAAATATGCCCTTGTCACATCCACTCTTAATTGATATTGATAATGATAATGATAAATGATGCTTTCTAACAACAGGTTGGATTCTATTAAGACCAAGGATTTTGACCACCCTTTGCAAATGATATTTAAAATTCCTCAGGTGTAAAAAAACTGAAACTCACATTATTTCATTACAGTATTTTTTTTATTTAGCATGAATTTAATTTAATTGATTAATTTCTCAATCAAATTCTCTGTGGAAACATGATGTAGTGGTTGATATAATTGATCATAAGTATTAGACATTCAAATAATGATAGGGTTGTATTATCAACACTCTAACTGCAGAATATATTTCAGAAAAGTATTTTCCTGCCTTTTGGAGCTTTCAAATCATGAGGAATTCTACCGACAAAAGAATTCTACAATAGTCGTAGAAACCACATGCCGCACAATCATGATATTGACAAGTGAAGGAAAACATTTATCTTCTATTGTCAAAGGGTTAGAGCTGTTGCGTAAAATTTTATCTGGGTAAGTTTTACAAATTTTTATCTAAGTATGGCATCAGTAATTGCCCACATTTTTCACTCATTTTCAGGTTCATGCATCATTGAGTCCCAATCTGAACATAATGTCAAAGATGGAATTGAGATTTTGTAAGTTGATAGACCAGTTGTTTTGACATAGCCTACTCTTTTATTGATGGCAGTGATTGGTTCAGTTTCCAACATACCTACTGAATTTTACAAGTAAATTATTCTACTGACTCACTCACGTCTTTGTAGGTTTGTCAATTAAGGGTGTTCAATTGAAATTAAATTACAATAATTTTTGGTAGAATAAAGGTAAAAATAAGAATAAGGGTAAAAAATGTCACCTTAAATTTTTAAGTTGTCTAATAAGCGAGTTATGAGGCTTTGAAGTGGGAACTCCGTTTGCTTTCCAGATCAAAAACGATTTCGACTATATTCACCAAACTGCTCTTAAAAGTCAAATAAATTGATCTTTCCAAGCTAAAACATTTTATTTCCCATATCGTTCCTAAATAAAAAAGTAACATTTTTTGTAAATTCAATAACTGGTTTATTTTGACATTAATCAAGAAAAAACGCATATTGGAACAAAGCCAATGATGTACATAATGAATAAAAAAATACTCCAATGGAAAATTCTTAAGCTTATTGGAAAAGCGTTTTGAAGCTGGAAAAAAAACTGAAATCACGTAAAATCAGCGTGGCGTGCGATGTGAGTGTGTACAATGCACACAAGTTCACTCACGGCGTGTGGGCGTCCGCCCCTATCTCTCCCTTTCCACCGCGCCTTCAACCATCTCTCTCCTCTTCCCGCACGCCCTACTCAGATAGCCGTCTCTGTCTATTTTCTTCGTCTGCCTACCTGTCACCAGTTACGTGTTTTGTATTGCGTACGGGAGTGTTTACTGAATTCATCCTCATAGCACTTCGGATTCGTTCAGCTATTAGCAAACAGCTTATATTTTGCTAGCAACAAAACCCGTTGTGGTTAAATACAACGGTCTCCAGCAAAATAATAGTTACGAAATTCGCATAAACCAGTTTACTAACGCATAATATTGATACAGATTAAGCCCATAACTTTGAAACACACATACATGACATAAGGAACACATTTTAAGCCTATGGCCCACGACGAGTTGCACGGCGCTCACAGCTTGAGGCGTACAGCCAACAGAATTCTCTCATTTCGTCCATATCGAAAAACCGCAGCTGAAATAAAGTTGTGCATCCGGCCAACCTAGTTCCATGTGATTTCAATTTTTAAGGTTATTGCGGTTCATTCTAACGTTAAAATAATACTTAATGGTTATTCCAAGTACTGTGTTCATTTCAATAAATCACAAATTAATTATTATTTTTACGCTTCTTTAAATTCATACATAGCCTACTAAAGTAATTATTGTTTTCATACTGAAAATAAAAATATATTTTAGGCCAAAAACTATCTCAGATAACCGGGCTCAGATAATTGGGAATGTACTGTAGTTGTCTCGGTAACAATCCCATTCATAGTATCAATATGAAATGAGAAAAGTTGTTGACATAAATTCTCAATTTTAAAAACATTCGGTATATGTACTGTAATATACCGAAAATACTGTAATAATATATTTTTGAAAATTAATCTTACAATCCTATTAGGTTGATATTGGTTCAGGTTTCATTGTACATTTGATGTAAGATTTTAAGTTACACTAAATTGAACAAATCTATCTTTAATAAGCCACATATGTTACGAGCACTTACTTATTACAGTAAATTATTTTAGTACCGTACTTAACCATTTTAAATCTTCTTACGTCCAATCTTGGTGTATCTTCTATATTCTAAATATATAAAAGGCAAAACTCACTCACTCACTCACTCACTCACTCACTCACTCACTCACTCATCACTCATCACTCATCACTAATTCTCCCACTTCCCATTTACCTAGGAGGCTGAAATTCGGTACACCGATTCTTTGGGCATTAAATAGGAAAACTAAGTCTAGTTTTAGCTATCGGGCTCCGCCCCAGTGGCTCTGGAGTTTCCCTTGTTAACCTTATGATTTTTCATATTTAAAAGGAATTTCTTAACAGCTGTTTCAATTAAACAAGTTGGTTCTGTTCTATGATGTTCAATAGCATTAAAGTTACAAGGATTACCAACAGGGTGCAGCACTATTATTTTTTATAATTTATGACTACAGCCAATTTGCAACCAAAAGGTGAGTGAGCGTAGCGAACGAACTTCAACCTGGAGGCGAGTTAGCGTAGCGAACGAGCTAACCTGAAGGTAAGTGAGCGGAGCGATCGAGCTCCAACCTAAAGGTGAGTGAGCGTAGCGAACGAACTTCAACCAGGACGTGATTGAGCCATGCAAACGAGCTCACTTGTGAAGTTAAATGGGGCAAAGCCCGCGGGTACAGCTAGTATAGTTAAAGTCTTAATTCATTATTTTAGCTTATACTACCCTATTAATGACCAAGAACTTTCAATGATATAAATGTATCATTACAACTTTAAGATGTGTTTTTCTTACAGCCGTGGCAACGACATGACAGTGAACCTACACCACGTTATAGAAGTACTGTCTGTCATTTTGGGATCTCATATCTTTCATGCGATGCACTTGAATGCGATGAGCGTCTTGAAGATCATTCTTCTCTTTAAGGACTTTGACCACCAAAACTTGCCTGATTTAATCTATACTGCTTTGATTCTAATCCATAAATTGAGAAGAAATAATGCCCACCGATTCAATAAATATATCAATACTCCCCTAAGCATCATAACATCCTCATTGAGGTAAATATAAATTATTTTCATGGTGAATGATAAATATTTGTTTAGTGATTGCTATTATTATGTACAGTTTGGTATTCAAACTACAAATGATGTTCTCATGAATCCACAAAATTATCATAGACTTTTAAAACCAAATTGAAAGCAAAAGGTAAATTATTAGCTCAAAAGGAACTGTTAACAGTTAGCAAAAATGTCAATCAACTTTAGGAGAATCACTTTTACAATTTCAAACCCATGGCACCAAACCATTGCAACCCAGACTTGCTCAATCTGTGCAAACCGCCCGATCGTGCTTACACAATTACAATTATACAATTACTTAAGGGCTTATAACTTTTCAGCATGACATGAAAAAAATATTAATTACTACTTTCTATTTTAACTTTTGATCATTTCATCTACCAACCCTGGTATTAAAGTGAGAGCAGTGTCTACTACTTTAGTGGAAGGTGTGTTCATTCCACATACAGTAGAACTCGAATTATTTCAACTCCAACCATCTTGGATCGCTAATTATCTAAATCACCTCAAGGGGGAAAAATTGTCCAGAAAATTTAGTTATTGCAGTTTTTGGTAATCCATTGACCGTTAATATTTTAATGTTTGCAAATAGTGTCCATCACACGGCATGTATTTTAGGGAAAACACAGGGCTGCCTGGAGGGAAGGACAGCGCCACAAGGATTTTTTTAGGGGGGATGGTTCATTTTACAACCTTCATTGATTAAATATACATTGATTGCCCTAAACTGATTTTTAGTAAATTCATGTACACACCCTTTTAAAACTTACAACACAATAATATGGCTTTTCGTAATTAAAAATCTTTTTGTCACAACAACATGAGAGATGCTCTTAATTTTGCTGTGATAGTCAGAGGCAATGATGATGTATTTGGGACCGCTGGGTACACTCCCCAGCGACTTATTTCTATGATCACAGGAGACAAAGATGATGTTTTTGCGAACTTGTGGGAATGTCAAGATATTGCTGCAATCACATATCAGAGGATGATGGAGTCTTAACAATCCTGGGAGTAGAATATTCTCTCAAATTAACCACGAGTGTGAAAGGCTGCTATCACGGATTATTTTATGACAACATAATGATGCTGGCAGATAGATGGCCGAATTCTCTGAGAGGAGGCAAGGAGAAAAATAGTTATTTTTCCTCCAGTAGGCCCTACTGTATTGCTCTTGGTTCTGTGTTTGTCCATTTGTGGCTATTTAATCATTTCTGGGTTGGATAAAGAGACTCTTCTTAATTCTATGTTATGAGCAAAAAACAATTCCATCATTGCAAAATTATCCAAGTATAACTATTTCATTGTCCCCATATTTTGTATTGACAGCAAGCTGTGTTAGCTAATTTCCCATATAGGCAATATTAGAGAATTTCCCATACAGGGGGTCTCATGGCAAATCAAACTTATCCGGAGTCCGATCCAAATATATCCGGATGGTTGGAGTTCTATTGTTTACCTGTTAGGTCAACTATTTTGCTCTGCTTGTATTTTGTTAACATTTTTCTCTGTATTATAGATACTATTCCTCCCATGAAGATTCACCAAAAGCCCAAAGGGCTTCCAATGTTGTGTGGAGTCTAGTTGTATCATCAGTAATACCATTTCTCAAGGTTTGAATAATTAATTACCTATGTACATATTAAAATGTCTATATAGAATAGAAATATACGATTCTATAATCAAGTTAAGTAAAAGGTTGCTTAATGATCTTCCACTGTGTGGACGTTGTAAGATATGAGCCAGAGTTAGTTTTAGGCTAAATAAAAAAAATAAAATAAATAAAAACTTGTATTGGAAATGTTATGTATCCATCCCATACTTACATTGCTATCATAGTTTTGGATTTGTTGAATCATCTATCTATCTATCTATCTATATCTATCTATATCTATCTATATCTATATATACTAGCTGTGTGCCCGTTCTACGCACGGGATCTTATAGTAGTCAGTTGAAACCTTCTTATATTAAGATTAAGAACAGCAGTTAGTTTGCATATTTGCAGATATGCTGGCAAAACTATTATATATAAACCTTCGCAAATACAGTATCTGACAGTTCAAGCCAAAACAAATGCTTCGCAATCAAATGTCACCCGGATCGTTATGGTCCATATGTCCAATGATTAAACTAAAAAATGTTTTATAGATCCATGAAGCGTAGCCCTAAAGTAGGCCTATAATTGAAAGTTACTTTCCACATCGGTTAACTTAAACGTATTTAAAGTACTACCTCAACCTCACCATTTAACACTTTATTCCGGTTGACATTTTCAGTATCAAAGGTGCTCTTGTCCATTCTGTGAAACACTGAGAAATAAGGACATTAATGAGTTACCAACAGACATACACACAACAATCCAAAAAAAGGCCACGAACTATTGATACATAAACAATATAAAGGCGTAAACAATTCATGATGGTTTGCCCAACAAATGTTTTACTCAAATAGGTTATCATTTTCTTAGCATACCGGGTAAGCCAGACAGAATCCAGACAGAAAAAGCAAAACTTATACAGAGTTGAGACATCACTTAAATTGAATACGGACGGCTCTAATAAATAAGGTGCAACACCAACGATAACTAATTTGTAAACTACAGTGATGTGTTGGTACCTACGTAAAAATGATTCTAGCAGCTACCAACGGTTCTAAGGAAAAGAACCAGTACCTACGTAAGAACCTACCTAAGAACTTATTTAATTTCATTTACGGTTACACTATTAGACTATATTATTGCACTTGCGATTAATTAAATCCGTTATGTAAGAAAAACGTTTTTAATCTCACTTGGTTGGGATTTGCTTTCAAAACGTGATTCGAAATGGTTGCGGTATTTGTAAACAACATTTGTAAACATATCATTGACAGCTAGAAAAAATAATCTTGATCCGAACAGCTGTTCGTTATTTCATAGACGATTATTATGTGATAAAAATTTAACGAAAATTTGACAAAAATCGCACAAAACTGCATTTTTGAACGTCCGTAATTTTATTTACAAAGTAGTGAGGCTATATTTAAATCACTAAAGACACTCTCGCCAATCCAGTGAATACATTAAAATGACTTGGATCTTGATAGGTACTCTGGTTTTCACGGAGAAGATTGCGTAAAATGTCATCTTGAGTGTTACAGACAAAGGGAAAGACAGACAGACAGACAGACAGACAGAAATAGAGATAAGACTCGTTTCTGCTTCTTTAATGTATAAAACGTAAAAATAACCTAAAAGTATATAATTCTGAGCAAAGTACAGACAAAACTCTAATTTTATTTATATAGATAATAGGCTAAGCCGTTTTTTGTTTTTGTTAATCAAACTCCTCTGTTATTATTCGCCCGATTTTGACGTTTGAGGTCTCAAAATAAAGGTTAAAACGTGTAGTTGAGCCCAACGATATTAGATTTTTTATAAAGTCGTTGGTAAGGGCGTCAGAGGCCCTTAAAGTCAGTTTTTTCTCCATAAGGATAACATGGGAGATAATTTTTATTTATAAAAACATATGTTTTTGGTTGAAAATAGTCAAAGTCTACTACATAATAAATCGGTGTGTATTATACCTGTAAATGTATATTAAGTTTAATCATGTTTTGGATACCTTAAAGTGTACTTATAATGGATCATACTACTTTATTTTAATTTGAAGAATAGTAAAATTTAGTTGAGAATAAGTTACCATGATTTACAAAACTGTACTGTAACATTCAAAATCACAAATCTTTGACAATCATTAATTTGACATGAAACAGCTGATCTACCAGAACAAAAACAAATCCTCTTCTTCAAGTTTGTTTCTATACAAAAATATGTTTTTTTATTAATTGTTGTGTATCCTAAAAGTGGAACCTTAGAAGATTTGGCTGTACACTCTTCAGGTCTTGATCCAATAGCCTTACACACTGATTGATCGGGCAACTACACACTGGAACACTGTTACACATTTGCAGTTCGCGCCCACAGGCTATCTGTTAGACTTCAGTATTCTGCTGTTGTGGTAAGGTTACACTTCAATATATAGTTGAAATTTTTATGAGAATTGAAGGTGAACGTCTCGGTTTAGGGAACAGCCAAAACTTCGAGCAGAGCTATATGAACCTTCATGACGCAAATGCATAAGTAGAAAATAAAAGAGTCAAAATAGGCTAAAGTTAATTGATTCCTTATTTTGCCAGCAAGATTGCTTGGATTTGGATGCCCTGTTGATTTCATCCACCATGAAAGTATACAAAATGGTCAAATAAAAGACAAAGCTATTTTAGCTCCATAAACAGTGTCTGTGGTTTGATCAACAACAAAGTTTTGGATAAATTGCCAGGTGAGCCCAAGGTGTACGAAAGCATTGATAGTTTGCTTGCAGATAATTTAAACACACATCTAGAATGTCCAACAGAGTTTTTAAACAATATAGAGGTCAGTGGATTGCCAAGGCACAGATTGATCTTAAACAAGGGGGCAGTGTGGTTTTATTGATGAGGAATATCAATACACCAAAGAGCCTCATTAATGGAACAAGGCTCCAAGTGACCAAAATGGTTACCGGTAACAATTTAATAGAATGTGTGTGTTTGAAAGTCTTAACTAGAACAAGTGCGGGGGGACATATTTTGATTCCGAGAATAAAAATGTGCCCGTCGGAAACAAACTTAACATTTAAAATGGGAAGATGCCAATTTCCATAAGCTTTGTCATTTGCAATGACAATCAATAAAGCACAAGGGCAATCACTTAAAAGAGTAGTACTGTTCTTGTCCAGACCAGTTTTCAGTCATGGGCAACTATGTGTTGCTTTAAGTAGGGCTACATATTTGATGGTGTACACATATTCATCACGGAAAATTCTGACCAGGGTAATCTTCCTGAAGGTGATTTCACATATAAAAACTTAGTAAGTTAATTCAAGGAAGTACTGTTGTCAATAAAATAGGTTTTTTTGTGTTTATTATTAAAAGGGGTTTCTTCAAGAAGCATTTTTATGTTCTTCAAATATGCTACATATTGGTTTTATTACAATGTTTTATTAAATGTGTTATAAAATCTTAAAATAACTATGAAATACTTGATAGCTTATTAATTTACTAAATATAAGACATATGGAGCTAGAAAATTGATGGACTGCTTTCCTTCTAAGGCTTCATTCATTACATTTTATTTTCGACTCAGAGTCAATATATGACAGTATGAATTTGTTTTCTAAATTCATGTATGTATTTTTGCGGCGCGTTGAGCCGCACGGGTTCACTAGTCCTCTCTATTCACTTAATTTTACGCTTGAAACAAAACAGAACCGCACTACTTCACTTTTGTTAGTTATGTGAATGACTGTGTTTCTATTTTATAGTTTGTGTGCATTTGATTGAATCAAGGGCAACTACCAACCTTATGACAACAAAATATAGCAACCAAACTACTGTATGACAAATATCCTAAATGACCTTTCATTTTAGAGTTAATGACCCTCTGTAAATGAGGAGTTCACCTATTTCAATTAATTATTTACACAACAAAATTTGTATAATTTATCTTGGGTAATTAAATTTGTGATGTTTTAACATTTTGTTTCTGGAGGCAGAATTCTATTGACACTGGATTATTTGTTTTTCTCTATTAATTTTTTTTTAGGCTATGTCTTTTTATGTCTGTTATTAAATATGTTTTTCTAATCTATGTGTCCAACTTTAACCTAAATAAAAGCCAAAAAAGATGAAAAGTGTCCTCATCCTCTATCTTAATGTAAAGAGAAACATTAAAGATGCTGTTTGCAATATTTACTTTTTTAACTAATGCTGTCAACTTCTACCCAAGCCGTGCACCATGGACCCTCCACTCCAGCTAAGCCACACATTAGTAAGCCGAAGCTCAATATGGGTTGCACACGAACAGGACTCGAACCCACACATGTAGAAAGACCTCAACGCTGTACTGATCAGTGCAACGCCTTAGGCAACTGAGCTACCATGCCACCATAGGCCGAATCGACACCCAGGAGGACACTAGCGCTGGTTAGATAGTGCCAGTGGGTTAGCAGTATGGCTATCTCGTCGCAAAATGTAGTGACACGCTACACACTTGATCCATCGTCAATATGTCAATACTGTATTTATTATTGTTATAATTGAAATTTAAAAGTTGTCTTTTTGAGGTAGATTCATAACATATTTACTTTCAGGAGATATATGCAAAGAAATATGATGAACATGTTGTATTGAATCAGTTAAACTGTCTCTTGGCTGCATATGATTGTTTGGATAAATCCAAAAAGATCACTCTATCCAATCTCCTGGCCACTAATGGATATCTCAGCCTTTTGCCTGAATTCAATCTTTTGACTCAGTAAGCTACTAACGCCTTATTGTAACTTTAGTTCACCATAAGTGTCTATTACTGGTGTTACTTGATTTTTTTCTGTAAATGATGTTTAAATCATAATAATTAAGACAATTTGTTGCTTATTAAAATAGGTCTTTGCATTTTGCAAGCATCAATTTAGAATAATACTTTATAAAGCTTCATCCTGTAGTTGGAACAAGCAGCAATACAAATTTGTGAACAAAATTGTTGGTTTATATGTTTGATACAAGTTTTATCAAAAGCAGAGAGTGTTAATTGTTATTTTGCCTGTGAACACAATAATAACATATATTTGAATATACTGTGATTTTGGTGTTTGGGTTCCCTGAAAAAGACCTGTGATGCTATGGTAGAGTACTAATTCTCCATTTAACAAATTTGCTGACAGAACCTGGGACTTTTTAGGCAACCAGTTGCTTAAAATGAAAGCCTATTAATTCACTAGGAAAAATTAACTTAAAAAATATTCAACTATAACTAAACTGCAAAATACTTATTAAAGAACCACATATTATAATTCCTTTGTTGTAGTAACAAGCTTGTTGTGTTGGTATAAGACGTGCTTACTTCCCATGAACTATAACGAAATTGTACCGATTATTTTCATTAACTTTCTTTCAGGAGGAAATCTGTCCATAAAAGTGTGATAAATCTTCTGTATCATATCCTGGCATGGCTTGCGCTGGTTGAATTGCAACTGCCAATGCGGATTGGTGGTCTGATCAGAAAGGCATTGCAGAAGCTACCTGCAGACTCAACTAAATGGCCTGAGTTGCTTGCTGAAACTAATCACTCTCCCTACATTCACTTGACCATCATCATACATCTCAACTTTGTCCTTCTACGCGACTGCGGGGACAGGTGAGCCCTACTTGCCATGTACACTGTACACTGTACAGGGTATCTCAACAAACTCTGAATAAAGAATGAATTAAAAAAACCTATTATTATAATTACAAATCATTGTTATTAAAAGTTATTGTTAGTTTTAAAATGGCAGCCATTTGATTTTTTTAAATAGAAATACAAATAATCTAATTTAAATGCACATGCCTCCACTGTTGGTAAAGCTATGTTTTGTTTTTTCATTTTAGTGACACTTTCCATTACTTTTCTATTACTTTTAAAACAAAATTTGTAACTAATTACAATTATCAGAATAAAAAATAAACGAGAATAGCTAATTACAAAATTGCTAATAACATTTTTATTGATTTTGATATAATGTCTGACAAAAATGCTACTTCTTTGATTATTTATAAAACTGTTGTTTGAAAGTAATTGAAACCGTCACTAAAATAGCAAAACACAGATAAAATATAAGCCTATGCATCAGGGATCAACAATATATTATCTATGAAAATTAATTTAGTATGTTAGTAAGTTGTGATATAGACAAACTTATCGTTTTAGAAGGGAAAAAAAGATTTACAACCAGCTCCTCTTGCACAGACCTTGAATTCATTGATAAACCAAGCTGAAAGTTCAATTATTTTTATTTAGACTTTAAGGGAGATTAATTATTGAAATAAAGGGTTCATTTAATTATCTGTAACAAATTGCTTATCTAAAAAAGATTAACCTTTTCAAAAGCTCCAATGAAAAGTAAATAAATATATTTCCAAGATGTTTAGTTATGTGCTCCTTTGTTAATAATTTTTAAGCCTACTGTACTTAATTTGTATTGTTCATCCTTAATTGAGTCAACTTGTGGTAATTATTGGAACTTCATATTTTGAGTTGTTTTTGTCTCTGGATCACAGAACAAACTATAAAAGGTATAAAATTACCTGAGTACTGCCAGAGTGATCCTCTTAGTCCTTACGGATTACGCGTTTCGAGGAGCTTAAGTCCTCATCATCAGATCTTGTACAAGAAACACATCTATCACTTCGAAAAGGTCGTCAAAAGTTTAAATATATGTGTCCGTGTTGTATATTTAAACTTTTGACGACCTTTTCGAAGTGATAGATGTGTTTCTTGTACAAGATCTGATGATGAGGACTTAAGCTCCTCGAAACGCGTAATCCGTAAGGACTAAGAGGATCACTCTGGCAGTACTCAGGTAATTTTATACCTTTTATAATTATTGGAAGACCACTAAAAGAAAATAAATAACTTTAAAAAAAATAAAGAAATAACTAACAAACCCTATTTGTCTTAGAAACATGTCTTAGGTTAAGACTAATTATGAGCAATATATTTTATAGCATGATTAAAAGTTCACATCTGCCTGCTCTTTGCAAGTACATACTATCCAAGAACTCTCTTCCTTCTCCCCCCGAACTTAAAGCAATTGCTTTTGTTTTTGCAGTAAGTATTAAAAAAATAGTTCAAAATACCAATTTAGTTAATAGCTTTTTTATGTTTTGAAAAAAAAAAATTGGACAGGGTTATATTCACTTGACAATTTTACTGGAAAATCTCAAATATATTTGTAATCTTTATGACAGGGTGTCCACTTACTTAATAAAGAGCCAAACTCCGGGATTTGGTTTATGGGTCAAAATAAGTGAACATCATGAATGACTTTTTCCAAAAACACTTACTATATATCCTCCATTTTGTACGATAAATTACATCATTTAACTTCTTTAACCTGAATTTATATTTATGAAAATTAGTATGGTTGTTAAATAAACCTATCTTAAAGATTGGTTGAACAAGTATACATTTTTCTGTAAAATATAGTAAAATGCCAGATATCTTTCAAACAAAGTGATTTTGGAAAACATTTCATTCTTGGGTTTCTCTTTATTTTAACTTACTGGTTAACTTGGTTATTTCTTGTAAACAACCAGTGGCGGTCCCAGGGGGGGGGGGGGGTTGGGAAGGATATACCCCCCAAAATATTTTATATTTTATTAGATAACATAAATACTATTAGCTTGAGCATAGTTTAGAGCTCAAATACGTATAAAAATACATTTTTAGGCTTTAAATTCCACATTTTTCCAGGAGGGGACCCCAGACCTCCCAGTGGTCATCCCCCTGAAATGAAATCCTGGGACCGCCACTGTGAACAACACCGTTTAACTGCTTGGTTCAATAATTATAGTGCATAGTACTTGGACATCCAATGATAAGGGTCGTATTTCTCTAACAGCAGCCATAGTGGTTGTCAGGGGCCTCAGGTTGGGAGAGGGCCTAACTTGGAGCCTCAAAGTAAATTTTGTCTCTTAAAAATACATTTTGCCAATAATCTGTAACGGGTTTTGATTTTTGAGCCTAGCCTCTATTCTTGTGATAGGTAGCCAAAAGCGTCTGCGAAGATTGTACTATCAGCATATCAAAGCGATCATTGGAGATGATAATGGAGTCTCTGCGACTGCAATTCTCCCGTAATTGCAGTAGATGAACACAATTTTACCGTGAAGGCAGGGGACACCTTATGATTTTTTTTCTATTTACTTACATTCAAATTCACGATTTCACTGTGATGAAAGAAAGACAATAATATTATGTCTCCTAGATCAGGCAAGATGTTCACTATTACTCCTCAATCGTGGAAGGTGTCCTCAAGTTTGACGTGACTGGAGGGGACACTTGGTTTATGTCGTGACCAAGGACGATTTTGTTTATTTTCAATTTTGTTTCATGTTCATAATTTCACTAAAGTTGCAGAAGTTGTTTGAACCAATTGTAGTATAGTAATAGATATTTTTTTATTCAATACTTTACAAGGCAACCCTATTTTAACCCGACCTAGATTTTGACATCAGTAAATGTGGATTTCACCTGAGATTCGCTTTTGACTCAGCTCAAAATAAACAAGTCTGGTCCACAGGAAAAAATAAAATTAATTGTTAGCTAGTCTTCTAGCCTAGGTCTAATCGCCAATCTATAATATTAAAACGAAACAGTGTTTTTTTATTTCACGATTCTGAATCAACCACTCGACGGATTTTCATGATTTTTGTTTTGAAAGAAAGATAATTTTGAGAACTAGGGAATGTCGAAGCCATAATTTTAGTTTAGCGTCCCCGTTTTTTTGAAATTAAGTTTTAATTTTTAAAAAGTCTAGCAGCCGACGCTAAGATTCTAAACTAGCTTTTGGCATAAAATAATTTGCTTAAGATAACAGCTGTAAACATTCAGCTTTTGTTTCACAAATTCAGCATTTGGATAAAAATGTAAAGACATACTTAGGGTTGACTTATTTATACTATGTGTAATGCTAATCATTGATACGTTCAATTCTTCTCTAAGAGGATGACAAATTAATTAAATATGCATAGTAAAATACTAAGATGTTTACATTATTTTTTAAAGCAAACTTTGTAATCTTCGATTTGTTTTGTAAATTTGTTTAAGCTAACAGCTGGTTAAATATAAACAATGGAACTATGAGGTTATTTTATTTACTCTTATTTTCAGTCATTGATTATATGAAATAAGTAAGATTAGTAGAGATAATTAGACCACAGTTTTAACCAAAATTAATTAAACCACAGTACGAATCGAGGCTCTGTACTGTTAATTGTTTGCTCTTTTGTGTCTTAATAAAAAAGGATAAATGCAAATTATTTTACTGCTCTACTTTTCAAGGAAAGATTAGAAAAATAACAAAATAAGAAAATAACAATGTTAACATGTTTTAATTCTTAATGGTAGCTTTTTGTTTACAATTAATATTTGTCTGCTTTAACTTTGTTTGGATAAGGCCCGGAAATATTGATGTCATAAAAAGAAGATAAAAAATAATCTGGAATCACGATTTTAAAACTACCACCACAACCTCAGCCGGGTTTTATACAACGATAAACAGATGGATGACATAGATTGAACGCAACGTCAACATTAACCTAGGATACTGCAATTAGACAAACCATCATTTTATGAAATCGTGTTCAGTTGTGGTTACGTTTGGGGGCGCCTATATCAGCGCCCCTAAACGTGAAAATATCACACTTTTATTTCAACTATGAATATATTGTAGCTTAAATTAACTAATATGGGAAATAACGATGTACATTTATTCAATGAGGGTGGGTAATTATCAAGGATAGAACTGATAACGGTATGGATAATAAACATTGACAATTACGTCATTAGCTTAACTAGCGTGTTTACTTTTTATATTCCTGCTACATGTGACCAGTTCTTTTTTTCAAATGAATGTTATTTAAACCAAACAGCTGTTTCAAAACAAACTGTTATTGTTTTTACTTTTCTTTGTTAACGCTTATTTATTTAGAAATTAATGCAGTGAAATTGATATAAAGGATAGGTGTGACGATTAGTTTTGATGTTAGGTTACCAAGTTAAATTATGTGTACTGTGAATTTTATTGAATACTATCGTTTATTTTAGGTCGTTTCTATTCAGACCTACTGGAAATTGTGTATAGTAGTTGTATTTTGGTGATAATAATTATGGAAGGGGGTATCGTTGACTCGGTCTATACACTTCTCAATTGACTATTACTCTCTCTACTGTAGGCTACTTATAATCAGTGTGCGTCTGTGCGAATCGGCTGCAAATCTCACTTCAACGCTTTTCACATCGTAAAAATTGCAGAATTGCTGTTTTATTGTAAAATTATCGGATTTAAAATGCATATCGTATAGGCCTATGATGGAATAAAAACATATTTTGTCACACAACATTTGTTTACAAGATGATTTTTCACATTAAAACTGCAAGAAATTTTGTCTTTATATGTGTAAACTAGCTGATCTGAATTGTACACGGTTTTGACTGACTACTGAATTCCCGTACGTAGGACGGGCTAACACCTCGTCAGATCATTAAAACAAAGGGTCGAGTTCATAGAGATGAATCAATACCACGTTTATTTCTAAACCCCCTAAGCTCCAGCCAGAAAAAACAGAATAGAGATTATTCAGATAATAGGTGGGCGAGGGATGTATCTGTAAATTAATGTAATGCTTATTCATAATAGAACCAAACGCCTCTCAGGTGGTTCTTACCCCTCCCTCTCTACTGGGTCACACAGCACCCTTCTATTGGTCAATCACCGTCAATAGAAAAGTAGCATGGCTTTGTAACTGACTCTGATTCCTGCATTAGGAAGCAAAAAAAGACAATTACTGCACAAGCTCATTTATTCAAAACTAGCAGAGTACCTGTCCTTCGTACGGGGTTGGCTTATAAGTTGGTTATAATTATCTCTATTTAATAATAAAGTATCAAATGCGTATTGCAGTTTTACTCAAGTTACACTGCAATGGGGGAGAACATAGTTTGATGAAATTTGCTTCTTTAAATTTACTGTATACTATAGTATTACACATCTACCATAGCCAATGTTCTACCACTTCACCTAAACAATAGAGAAAATAAATTATCAAAAATTCGCAAAATATCACAAATTATTCATGAAACTAAAAACATAAACATAACTGTAAACACTCCTACTTTGACAGTTCTCATTGCGTATCACAGTTTTTTGTTTATTAGTTCAAATTAGCTGTTTTCATAAATGCAAAAAAGTAATAGTTGCTGCACCCTGTTGGTAAATCTTGCTTTTGCATATCTAGAACCAACTTTTTTGGGTCTGACTTAGGGGAGGTACAAATGAGGCATTTAGTTCAAAATTCCTCCGTGAACAGCACTGTAGTAGAGAGCACTTTGGCAATGAAGGTTTACTAATCGCAAAAATAGTTCTGCTCATAAAATAAAATTATAAATGCCTCAAATTCAATTTTACTATTTTTTAATTATAAAATTAAACTATCATAACCTAACCGAACTAACCAAACTTGCTGATAAAGAAATAATATAACAAGAGTTTAGTAGTCGGAAAAATAATTCTGTTTATTAAATAAAACTAGAAATTGCTCAATTAAAATTTTATAATGACTTAATTATAAAATTAAACTGTAATAACCAAACCAAACCAACCAAACTTGCTGATAATAAAAAAAATCTTGGACAAAAAGTTAATGCTACCAGCGGGATTCGAACCCGGGACCTACAGTATATCAACCCGGCACGCTAACCATTAGACCACCGAGGCCCGATGGCTATAGAAAGTTTTGTTACGGTAATGGCGTTCCCTCAGCTAATAAGAAGCCCTCAGCTGTCATCGTAGCCTCTTCTATACCTCCCCTGAGTAAATACCAACTTTTTTTTAGTTGAAACAGCTGACTAAATTCTTTAATTCCTTTTAAATATGAATACTCATAAGGTTGACATGGGGAACTACAGTGCCACTGGGATGGATTTTTGAGATAAGAATATGCCTATATGTTAATCGGGAATGTGAGCTATCATCATGCCAAATTTCAGCCCAAACCGTCCTGTAGTTAATCGTGATTGTACTTCATTCAAACAAACACACAAATTTTTGTGAACAGAACTCCTCCCTCATTTTTGGACCGATTTTGATGATTAAAGAGTCCAAAAAATTGCCCTGATCTGTAGTTTTGCAAAGTGTTTTTAGTTTTTTGATATCTTTATTAGTTTGGGCAGGATCTTCCATCAAAGTTGGATTTTCTCCCATAAGATTAACATGGGGGAATCTAAATATTTAATTGGGAACTTTGTCTGCACTAATTTGAGAGAACGGGTGGGCCTAGAAACTTGGCAGAGGTGTCCAAAGAAAGGTCTTGGTCTGTAGATGAGTTATCAAAAGAAAAAGGAAGGAAATTCGCTTAGGGCTCTGTCCCAGAAGCCTTTAAAGATCCCTCCACAGATTTGTTTACATTTTGGCCATGTGGATAATACTTTTTAATAAAACAGCTGTTAATTTTAAAATTGTATTTTAAACAACACACATTTATTGTGAGTTACTGAATAGTCCAAAAGAAGCATTTGCAATGTTATTTTCTGAAACTTGATTTTCTTCTGTCTCATGTCATGTGTTGCAATATAAAGTTCCATTACGAAATCAGTGGAAAATCCTTTTATCACAATAACTCTTACAATTATTTCTTATTGAACTATCTTATATCTATTTTACGAGTTGGTGTCAGCCTTTTTCACACCTTTTCCCTAAATTTTATCATATTATTCTAGACGGATCATGATAGGTCCATGAGATTATTGTCATACATGCTTTCAATCAATGGAAAAATCTTCGATTGTGTAATACAATACAAAATAATACATGTGCAGAAGGGCACGGTGCCCATTTGAGCCGTGTCCATATTTTGTTAAATTAATAGTAGTTTACAGCAACTGGATAAAACAGTTTACAATATTTATGTAGAAATATGTGCATGATTTAGAAAGTCATTAAGCTGGATAACTACAATATACTGCAGACTTTTAAGAGAGGTTACTTTGATGTATTCATTCATCTTAGTGAAAACATAATATAGATATGTATACAAATAAGAACTTGAACTCTTAGAGAGCCTTTGAATGTTATTAGACTAACGAAAAGGGTTGTGCATGTTTACTAGCGCTACTCAGCAACAAAAAAATATTTAATTTATCTCTAAATATATATTCTTAAAGTACACTGAGCAGCAGCCTAAAAAATCTATGTAACTTACCCATATAATATAATTAAAAAATGCTCAACTCGCATTGTGAAATTTATAATTCGGCTTATATTTCTCCAACAGAAAATTCATCTGCAGAAGAATTTTATTGCGCTCTTACCGTTTCTAATAACATCCAAACACAGTACCCTTGCCTAAAATTATTTGCAGTGGCCTATATTACGGACCGTGGCCCACTGGGTTGATAACATTATTGAAAATAACACACTTTGGCTGTACAAATGACCCAATGAGTAAATACTATTTAAGCAGCTACAGTAGACCCTCTCTAATCCTCTGCACCACTCCGGCACTCCAGTAATCCGGTGTCTTTTGACGGGAGGTCTTCTGCGATCGCTGCAAAATTCTGATTATCTCCCGCGGCCGTGTAGGCATCATAATTCTCTCACGTGGTCATATAAACGTCATCGTCGTCTTGCGCGATTGTGGCAAAATCATTAACATCTCCCGCGGTGACGGAAAAGTCATTGTCGTCATGCGCGATCGCGGCAAATTCATGAACATCGCCAGCAGATGTATAGACGTTATGATCGCCTCCCGCGGTCACGGAAACATCATCGTCGTCAAGCACGATCGCGGCAAAATCATGAACATCTCCCGCGGTCATGTAGACATTATTGTTGCCTTCCACGGCCGCAGCAAAAATTTTATCATCTCCCGCGGCCGTGTAAACATCATTGTCTACTCCCGTGGTCACGGAAACGTCATCGTCGTTTTGCGCGATCGCGGCAAAATCATTAACATCTCCCGCGGTCAAGAAAACGTCATCGTCGTCATGCGCGATGGCGGCAATTTTACGATTATCTCCTGCGGACGTGTAGGCGTTATCATCGCCTCCCGCGAATACGTAATTGTCATGCCCGATCGCGGCAATCGCGGTTTCCGATCACGCGAACTTCGGGGACGTGTTTTAATTGCATTTTAAGTGTTTTTAATGATAACATTCCAGTAATCCAGCATTTTCACTAATCCGGCAGTATGGCGGTCCTATATCTGCCGGATTACTGAGAGTCTTCTGTACTGTCATGACAGAAAAGTCATATTCCTTTTAAACTATATTACATCATCCTAAGATACGTTGATTAACAATGCATGTAAACGTCAATATTTACGTAAAAGCAAATTTACATTATTTTTTGCTTTTTGGAAATGCCACATTACTATGTCATTGGCATTATTTGTTGCCAATGAAGCTGCACAACCATATAAATGAGGAGGCCCCTAAAAGTTCAAGAATAAAAGCCAACTTCACTTCAAGTATATTCCACTACACCTAACATTCCCTAGAGAGATTATATTGACAACTTTATGAAACTGATAAGGCTGAGACAACTAACTGACATCCCCCATGTCAAGGAATTCCAGCTTTAACAGTAACCCCACAACCAATTTCTAAAAACTGTGCTAGAGGGTTATTCATTGGCACAGAAGTATGATATGAACTGACGCAACGTGACGAAGGAAAAATCAAACTTACACTGTAACGGATATACAGTTACCTCCCTTTGAAGTTAGAACAGGTCTTCCCAACACACAGATTAAAAAAAAAATAAAATCATAGATTAATCTGCATTACACTGATGAAATCACGGAAGTGTTTAAATAAATACAAAAAATCCACCAATACGATTTTAATACTATTTAAAGTTTCTTCCAAAGGAAGAGATACCAGATAGCATACTAACAACTCCGATGACGTACAGCATGGGAAATATTTTATTCATTGAATGATCAACCATATTTTGGTAACTAACGCAATTAATATTATTATTGTGTTTACACTTATTAATCTTTAAACAATGCTAAATGCTCAAAATATGTATAATTTCACTCAATTTATCGCAGTTAGATGAATTAGCGTAAGCCTTGAAAGTAACCGTCGATTTCGACGGGATTCACCTAGTTTATAATATTAGTAAGAAGTAATATAATCCTACTTTGGAAAAAGAAAAAAAACTACCCCGTTTAGTCTAACCTTCTAACTTGTAACGGGTCAAAAAATAATGTGGGGTAATATTTCACAGTCATACCAAATACCACGTTGATTTGTTTTGTAAATTATTATTATTTTTTGATAATACAATGATAATAAAAAATCTCATGTAACAAGTTGTTTTTAACAGGTTTTACACCTATCACATGCACAGTCAGTGGGAAACTCACGCAGAGAGATAGCTCAGGCTACCCAGAGGATTATTCAATGGCTCAAATGTACAGAGATGAGTGATGTTTTCACCCATCACCCAGCTTTGCTGTACTGGATCTTCAATATTAATGACAAACCCCTACAAATGTCTGTAGTAAGTTTTGCCAGCTCTTCTACTTTTTAAAGAATATATTTTAAAAATGGAATAGTTTTTTATGTATCAGGAACAGTTTAATTACTATCTGATTTGCTGAAGCTGTATTTACCTTTATTTCAGGTAATCTAATCTCATATTGTAGTAACACAAAGTTCTGTGGCAATGCAATGTTAACCTTCAACATAGTGGAGGCTACTTAGTACTTGATGAGATAAAAAAAGTGTATTTTAAGCGTCCTTTCACAGTCTGCTCATGACCTTTGTCCTCCTTTCAAGGAACTATGTAAATCTCATTCGATTTAAGGCAGTTTCATTTATTCAACCAGTGGGGTTGATTTTAGTCAGGGTTTGGAGGTAACTTATCTGTGTTGAGTACAGAATAGACCTTCTTGTTTGTCGTATGAATGTAAGTTTTAGCGAATTTCCCTATAGGGAAGTAGCTATTACCGTAGGTCTCATGGTAAGACCTAGGCCCGGGACCGATTTACTTTTTTCATTTTGATGTCCCCAGAGGCCAAAAACACCATTCGTTCAAATTTTTATATATCTATATATATATATATATATATATATATATATATATATATATATGTGTGTCCATCCGCACGATAACTTGAGTAATTTTTGTCCGATTTTGATAAAATTTGGTTTGAAGGTGTAAGGCGGGATAAACTCGAACGAGTTCGCGAACCAGCATGATCGGACTATGGGAACGGGGGTTTACGGGGGGTTTTATGGGGTAAAAATAAGTTTTTCCCATTTTTGACCCAAAAAAAATAAAATTTTGCAAAATCCTTTCAAACCATTTTGTAGAGCTTAAAAAAACAAATAATTTAGTCTATTGAAGTGTTACTATGCGCCTAATGGTTACGGAGAAATTCCAAAAAAATGTAAATTTTAAATTCCCATGTTATTCTTATGGAGAATGAGTAAACTGTTGTAGTTTGCTTGTTTATGAACATATTTTGATCAAATTTGGAAAATGTTTTTATTTCTTACTAACTATTAACATTTTACAAAAAAAAGTTTTACCCTCCCTGATGCAGCAAACCTAAGTACCTGTTAAAATAATTCTATTTAAATAGGAAATAAATGTTAAATTTTTAAGTAGACATTTTAGTGTAAATCCAATCAGACATATGGAAATTCGCTTAGTCTGCAGGTTTGCTGCGGCGGGGGTATTTTTTTGTAGAATTGTTTTTTGGGCAGTATTCTTATTACTTAAAGTCAATGCACCACTGTCTTACTTGGCCTTCATGCATCACTACACTCGGGGCCACAAGAGCCTGCAGTTGGTAGCAGCCAATACCAAGACTGGACTAGTGCGACGTTACATCACCCGTTCACTACTTTTCGACACTAGTTCAAATATATTAAAAAATATTTTCAAATCAGCTGGTATTATTAGATTCGGAAACAACTTTCGGTCCTCATTGGCTCCTTCAAAGTCACATGGTAAATGAGCTCCTCCCTAAACTGCAGACTCTCGTGGACCGTACTCTAGTTTGCTGTAAATATTGCAAATCTGGTGATAAACTTAAATTTGCTTGTGATTTTTTACCGATACAATTTTTATCACGGAGTGCACCTCACCAAATGTGAGTTTTCCAATGACAGAGCTGATTATGTAACACTCCACTGCAGACGAAGTAAGAAAGGTATGATGTGCACAATACCTTAGCTGGATGTTTACTGATTGTAGGAATTAAAGCTGTCATGCTAAGATGTTTGGCCCCACTCTAAGCGGTGCCAATTCAGAACTTTTGTTATTTTCTGGACAGCTCTAATAGTAATGTTTGAAGTTTGGGAGGAAGGTTTCAGCCATTTCTGCTAAAGGGCTTCTAACCTGGCTACTGCACTGTTTTGTTTGAGACTTCTAATATCTATAAAATTTATTAATTTTATGATTGTTATATTACTTACAGATTGCCCTTTGGATGAGAGACAAGAGTCCAGCTTCACAAAAAGAACTGGAGGACTTGGTGTTAAAAGTTGATGAAGCTGCTCTACTGTTGGTGGTAAAGTACAATAAAAATATGTTTTGACCTAAAACAAATTAGCACAACCGGGGAATTTGGTACATATGTTGGTAGTACCTCCTTTTTGAACATACTAAAAGTCCCCTAAAATTGAAGCTGTGCTACGGCCGCCATATTAGAAAATGGCGGCATAATTCTGTATTTTTGGCTTTAATTCCTAGAACGGGCCCTGGGGTGCATGCAATAGCTAATTTACCATTATCTTTACCAATTGAATTATTATTATATATCACATGCGCCCCACGTTTTTGTTTTAAATCTTGTAAGTATTTATCCTCTCCACATATTTATAAATTATTTTCTACTTTTTAGCCTTTAATGTGTAAATATGTTTTTTTTTTTTTTGTTTTTTTTGTGGTACCAATGTAAATATGTTAAATCTACCTATTTTATATGGCCCATTAATACATAACCAAAACCTTTTTAACTGTAATCAGATGTCGTTGCTACTATTCTTATAATCATAAAGCTTTACAATCTCTCAGGAGTAGCACATGTGTAACGGGTCAAAAATTAACGTGGGGTTATATTTTACGGTCATCCCAAATACGTTGATTTGTTTCACGAAAAGGCCACCCTGAACGCTGGACATAGTGACGTCATATGGAGGGGATGACCGTGGTTCTCAACCCCGACGCCAGAAGTGGCAGGAGAGAACCGCTCAAGAAGCGCCCCGGGCAGTCGTTCTTCAGCCGTCGACCAAATGTTCACTCCCCACAAAACAATAACTGGGAGTCGTCGAGAACCGTTTAGTATACGATTCTTCACAAATAATATCTGGCAAAAGCCGATACTAGGAATCCCAAGATGATACGAACAGTGGTAACTGTAGTAGAGGCACAATAAGGTTCTATTTAATTACCAGTCACGTTTAATATAACTATTTGAATTTATATTTTGTATTTAGCCGATCAAGCATGTTCAAGGCAGGATTCTGCGCGCACGAGTAAGTGTAGATTCTGCCTTAAACGAGGCTTTGGTGGTAACCAAGCACTGTAAACATTTATTATTTCAATTTGTGTTATAAACACCACGTTATATTGTTTGATTAAAATTAGTTACGAACGACTCTGGCGATTGACCGAGTGGGGGGTGTGACCGAGGGACTAATGATCAGAAGCCGGGACTATCTGTAATTAGACTCGTGAACCCAACTTTTAAAACCGGGTTTTATCCCTGCATTAATTGTGTGCCGCCTATCAGTTTGGTCCGTGGCTTATAAAGTCTCGAGCTCGTGAACCCGATTTTTTAAGTCGCGGCCCAAATACCGGTTATTTCCGGATTCTGGGCTCGGACTACGATAGTCCCGAGCTCGTGAACCGCCCCAAAGGGTACTAAATGTTTAATTATTTATTTAATTTATTAATATATATATATATATACGTCCGTGAACGCGATAACTTGAGTAATTTTTGTCCGATTTTAATGAAATTTGGTTTGAAGGTGTTAGGTGGGATAAACTTAAATGAGTTCGCGAACCAGCATGATCGGATCATGGGAACGGGGTTTTAGGGGGGCTTTGATAGGGTAAAATAGTTTTTCTAATTTTTGACCCTCAAAACACAAAATGTCCCAATTTATCTCTAGACTTTCTTAAAGAGCATAAAAAACAAATAATTTAGTATATGAAAGTGATTTTGTACAATTATTGGTAACGGAGAAAATTCAAAAAAATCAAAATTTAAAATTCCCATTTTATTCTTATGGAGAATATTGTAAATTAATGTAGGCTAGTGTGCTTGTTTATTGATATATTTGGATCAAACTTGGCCAATTTATTTATTTTATACTGAGCTATTAATATTTTACTAAAAAACTTGCTTTATTAGTTTTCTTGTAGCAGCAAACCTAGGTACTCCTTAACCCTTTGCGGTTGAATGGCGAGTATAGGTTGCCGCCCGCCATTTTCCTGACTGCTCAAAAATGGCGACCTACACTAAAAAAATCTAAAATAAAAATAAAAGTTTAATTTTGCAGTCGAATGCCGAATATAGGTCGCCGGGCGCCATTTTCTCGACTGCTCTCATGGCAAACTATACTTGGCAAAAAATGGGAAAAAATTTTGACTCAAAGGGTTAAACCTTATGCTATTTAAATAGATTTGATTGGAAATCAGTTCAGACAAATGGAAATTCGCTTAGTCGGCAGGTTTGCTGCGGCGGGGGTATCATTAATAGTACCTGTTTTAGTTCGGTGTCAACGAAGTACCGATTCACGTTTTTTTAAAGCCTGTAAATTATTTTATTATATTTATTTGCTCGGTGTCGTTAGCATTGATGTAATTATAATCTGAGCCAACAAACTCGAAATCAGAACTAATTAACGAACTCGTTACAATCCTGGACCATCTCATTGTAGGCTAGGCTATCTGGACAAATTTTTAGGTTTGACTGAATTTCAGGTGAGACAACTTTTACGCATTAGTTCACTAAGCCCCGATTTTAAATCTAATTTTGTCTCTCTACCCGAAATTTTACGTCATACCATACATGTACCTCTTAACCTCTGGTCTTTGAACAAACCGTCAAATTAAAGTATTTACAGCTGACTTCAATTGATATATTTACATTCTTCCAAAATGTAAACATTGATACTTTGGAAGCCCATGGGGCATAGCCAAAGGGAAATTTGAAAATAAAATGATATAATATTGCATTGTCATCCATTTGTGAGCTATGTTTCTGCTCATGGGGAAGTTGGTTTAAAATTGATTCCAAAATTTGTACTGAACGGACAAGAAAGCGAGCTAATAAAAACGTTTTAATAAACTAAACTTTTTGTTGGAAAATAATAACAGGCGATCAGCTGATCTAACAATGGAGCTTAATTTGTTGTTCCATCCCTTGCCATATAAATCATACCTGGTTAATTGATAAACATACAAAATCTGCTCTCTCATTTTGCAACCTCCTAAAGCTACAAAACATTTCAAAAATGCTTTGACCGGAACAGTTTGTGTGGACGTTGATGAATTCTTAAACTTTGTAGGTTACATGGATTTTAGTATCAATTCAAAAGATTAAAATTTGTAGACTAAATCCTTTAGGTTTTCAACAGTTGTGGTAAACGCCAGAGATTAAACACTCATAACCAGCTAATAAATTGTTGAATGTATGTGATAAGAATGATTCAGTATTAACTAGTTTAATGAAATAATTGAGTCACCTTTCATCACAGTCATCTTTTCTTTTTTAGGACATTCTGAGCTGTTGTTCTAGGAAAATGCTGAATGAAGTGATGTCTCCAATCAAAACCATTTTGGACAGGTAAAAATTATTGGAAATGCAATTTAAAAATTATTGGCAAACCACTTGACACAAATTGACTTAATGTCTTGAGAACATTGGAAAAACATAAATATAACTTACCTAAAGAGTCCTAGACAGCTAGACTGGGCCCTGACTCCCTTACCTGCATTAACACCTCCAAACTTGATTCTTGTTGTTTAGTTCAGCACACCTCCAAACGTCCACCTAATCTAGACCACCTGTTAGCGAAAAATGTTATTGTATTTTACCCAAAAAACAAAACTACTTGTCCTGAAGTACTAACTAGGGTGTCCCGCCTGGAAAACCAGGAATCATAGATTTTATGACCACACAAAAGTCTGTAAATTGCGTAGGGTTTTTTATGAAGACGGGTAATTTGGAATAATTGCTAATAATAACCCATGACCAAGCATTCTGTTTATTCTCTTTTAGGATTGTCTATTAGTAGGAAGACTATGATCAAGAAAGATGATCAAAGGTGTTGCCACAATTGAGGTAGATAATCACAAAGATTTCCACAATCATGATATATATGTTGTGATTGTAGACACAGAAGCAATATATGGCAATATAAACATACGCTTATTTCTTAATGCATTTTTACTGCATTTCCGGCTATTCTGAACAAGGTTTGGTCCCATTTACTTTGTATGAATAGGACTCTGGTGGGCACTAATGTTAGTTCGCTAAAGCTCTGTTCCTAAAAAGTAGACCATACTTGTAAAATTTACTCTGAAATAAGGAATTATAGTCAACATAAACATTCTCAAGCAATGATGGACATCAAACATACACCAAAACAGTCTTTACATTTTACAACAGGAAGCAGTTTTCAAAGGTAATGATTCAATGATAGCTTTTGCTTTAGCAAACAGAGTACTATAATTTAATAGGCTAACACTTTTGCTGTATGGTTATAGGAACTCAGATCAAAAAATAATTATAAGCAAGCACATTTGGAGCAAACTTCCTTCCATTATATCCCGCTTGACATCACCTGAGATAACATCCAAAAGATGTAAGTATAGCCTATATTTCTGAATTTTTCATAAGCTCTGCTTGGCTATCTCCCAATTATTTCTTTTCGAGGTGTATGGGATTTTTGATAGAGCCAAGCTCCCAAGCTGAGCTTCTTTATAATGATTCGATGTCATGCCACACAATTGCAAATGGTTATTGTTTATGTACATTAAATGATGGTGAATCAAGGAACTTAATTTGAAATTAATGTCATCTTATTTTATTTTCTTCAATAGCAATTATTTTTAAGTAGTGTGGCCAAGGAAAACAAAAACAAATAATATTAATATAAATATAATAAGGAATATAATAAAATTATCTATCTAAAATCTCTCTTTCTACACTATTTGCAGGGTTTCAACCAACCTGGAAAACCGGCAATTATGCGTGATTTAGTTGAACTGGGAATTATGCGTAAATTTTGTATTTCTACTGATAATTTTCAATTTTCTGGAATCGCGCATGACTATGATAAAGATTCCATGACTGCGGGAGACACATATGATGCACACACGGTCGCGGGATATGTTAGTGATTTTACCGTGATCGCGCATGATGATGATGACGTTTCTGTGATCGCGGGAGATGATTATGATGTTTCAGTTACCGCTGAACAATACCAGGATTTTGTCACGACCACAGAAGACTCATGATGTTTCCGTTAACATTTGCAGAAACAGTTTAGCAGCAAGTCACTGCCTCTGTTCAAAAGGTCTGTACAGTTGGAGGTGATCGTCGATGCTTTGTTTCCGGCCTATCCGATCAGGCCGAATAAAGAGGTTGCTGTGGCTCCCAACTAGTACCCTTGTTCGTTGAGCAAGAAATGGCAAATGCCATAGGCTCTCTGCGCTGCCACAAAGCTCCAGGTCCCGAAGGAATTCAAACGGAAGTATTTAAGGCAGTTGGTCGGAAATTTTCAGGCCTTCTGCTAAATATGTACAATCGACGTTTATTGGAAGGCGTAATTCCGCTGCGTTGGAAAGTCCAATGCTTTGTGCTGATATCCAAGGGACAAAGAAGATTCTGCATACAGACCGCTATGCATGCTAGACCCGTCTTTGAAGCTTTTTGAGTGACTCCTAAAGCCAAGGATTGCCCAGGCAGTAGAGGCAGCAGGTGGACTTTCTGATCGTCAGTACGGCTTTCGAGCGGGCCGATCAATTGTTTTAGCTGTGAGTGAAGTGAATCTTCTGAGGCTGCCCAGCAAGTGAACCCCAGATTACGAAGGCTAGTCATGCTGGCTACACTAGACGTGAAAAATTAGTTAAACTCAGCCAGGAGGGCTGACATGCTGGGTACATTGGAGGCGGACTTCGCAATTCCCCGTACTTGCCTAGGATACTCCAGAGCTACTTACAGAATCGGAAGTTGGTTTTCAACACACCGGAAAGACAGCTGCTGAGAGATGTAACACCTCTGGAACATCCACTTACGACAGGATTCTTTGAATGGAAATACCTCAAGAGACTTTGCTCGTTGGGTATGCGGACCATATTGCCGTAATTATAACGGCAAAGGATGTTGATGATTTGCAAAGGCTGTTGGCCTTGGCTATAGGTCAAGTGATGAGGTGAACGGATGACCACAGCTTGTCCTTGGCAACAGAAAAGACTAAGATCGTGCTTCTCACCAGACGGAAAATCAACCCAATCGTAAAGCTTGCAGTTACTAGTTGGGGCGTGATAGCCACAAAACCCGCTGTAAAGTACTTGGAAATGAGATTGATTGTCCGGCTCACTTTCCAGAAACAGATAATTTTTGCGACGGAGAAAGCGGAAAGATTGTGGCCAATTTAAGTAGGCTGATCGCCTCGGCGTACCTTACAGTGTCAGAGCCAGCAGTCCTCATAGTTGCAGGGGTAACCCTCATTATTCCTTGCTTTTGAAAGGAAGCAGAAATGTGATGGGAATGGTAATTTGAGCTGTACTGAAGCACGAAAGCGTACTATGGAAGACTGACGATATCGCTGGGAAGGAGATGAACGAGGAAGATGGACGGTGAGACTTATTTGGTATCTCCAAAGGTGGGTTGAGCGAGAGCACGAAAAGGTAGACTTCTATCTCACTCAATTGCTCACCGGACACGGCTGTTTCAGGGCATACCTTCATAAAATGTGAAAATCCGAGAGCCCAGAATGATGATGTCTTTGACTACGATGATGTACAGCATACCTTTTTCCACTGTGTGAGGTGGGAAATACTCAGAAGGAACCTTGAAAAGGTTGTTGGACCGGTTTCGTCGGACACCCTCGTCCAACTGATGTTGTCAAGTCCCGAATACTCAATACCTGATTGCTGTTTCTGCATTCTCCAGGGGAGTCCTAAAAGGAAAGTGAACTGAACAGCTGTGATGCACCAGTACAGCTGAACCCGGTGGATCATTGTAACCGAAATGCCATCTCTGGCATACAAAGGCACCCTCTTGAAGTATTCCAAATAGTGTTTCCGCGGAGGATTCCATTGCCTGGACCGATAGGTTTTTAGTGGGTGAGAGTACCTCACGCCAGGGTAAAAAACATCTTAAGACCCTGACAGTGCATAAACCATTTCCCTATCGTAAAAAAACAAAACAAATCTTATCAAAAACAGTATCTTACACACAACACTTCACTTTTTGTTCAACATTAAAATTCATTCCTCTAGCTTAATTTTTAATAAAACTTCACTTGAGAGGTATAAGTTTTTTTTATGGCTCAATCTAATAGCTATTCAACGATGAATTTCAAATCTGTAATGCAGTAAACAAATCAGGTAATAATTTGTATAGGAAGCAAATCTATTAAAAATAACATTTTTAATATACTTCCATTTTGTCTACCACAACTGTGTTTGACTGTTTTCAGTGATGAACGTAAGTGTTGTCATATACATCGCTTGCAGAACAGTTCCTCGCATTCCTGACACCAGGCTGATGTTGAGGTTGAGTCAGCAGTTGGTTCAAGCTTTCCAAAGATTTTGTGGCAGCACATGGGAACATACTGAGATCAACACTCAAAACCTAGACACACAGTTATTGCTGGCTCAGATGTTAAAACTAGCCCATGTCATTGCCTTCAAGATGATACACATAAGTGAATACCGAGGTATATAATATTATATTATGTAAATTTTTAGGAATATATTCTCATAAGACTTATTCAACATTATTTTTACTGTAGGACTTGCACACAATTAAACATGTACTCTGGTGGAATTAAAATTTTCTGTCACTAAAGGTCCAATTCGTTTACTTTTGGTCCAAAGTTAATCCAGGAAAAATCAAGTATCACCAAACCTTTAAGGCCCGATTTCACCAAACAAAACGGCCGTTAAGCCTTGCTCTAGCTGCAGTTAGCTCTTAACTGACAAAATCGGCAAAATCGGATTTCACTACTTGCCGTTAGAGCTAGTTTAGACTAAACCGTCATTAGATAATTAACTGCCGATTTTGACCGGTTAACTTCTTTAATCTTTCGTTAAGTAAATATCAGTTGGCTTTAAGTTTTGAGTTTATATGGAAAGACCAAATGATAGAAGAGTATACGATACGAATTAGCTTTTGAAAGTGATGAGTTGCCTATGTTGTTTGCCGAACTAGGTGGATAAGAGAAAAGGTTAATGGTTTATTTAAGACAAAATTAATTTTATATTACTAGATATGAATTATCAAAACGTTTTGGCTTTTTCTTTGGGTTAACCCACAAGGTTTTTAGTAAAAGTGTATCTCTAGGTATGTGATTAGCAACTCTTATCCCGGCTGAAAAAATGTGTTTTTCCACCTACATTATGAAATTCCTTTTTTCTTTGTTCGAAAAAATAGGCTCCCTTTTCCTTTTCCCAGTTTTGAGTAGCCCTAACCCTACTGCCAAACAATTAGTTTAGTCCAGTCAGACATAATTTAGGACAATAACTAAACCTAAATTGTCATTATTCTGCTAGTATTTATAGAAAATCTTTATTTTTATAGCATCTTTATTATGTCTCGTTCTTGTGTAACTCTTTATGCCTCAATTAAAGTTTTCTCACTATTTCAAATGTACCGTAAAGAGTTAGATTTTGAGCCTTGACTCTACAGCAAAACTCAATCCTCTGTTCCTCAATTGAATCTGTTTTATCAACATTGCTTTGCCTTTATTTACTCATGTTAATTGTTTAGCTATTTATTCTTGTTTTCTGTTGTTATTTTGTTTTTGTTGCTTAGAATATATGGTATACCGGTAATTGTAATCTTGCTGTCTCCAGTTTTGTTTTCACTACCTCATAAACACCAATTTATTTTCTAGGTTAACTTTACTTATTGCTCCCATAACAGCCCGGTATTATGACAGTTTACTGCCACTGCCATCTGGATTTTACTCTAAACTCTCGTTTAAAAGACCAGCATTAGTTTTGTCGGGTTTTCGTTGGTGAAACCAGATTTCCTTAACTGGGGTTTAAATCGTCAGTTAGTTTTAACCAAAGATTAACCAAACCATCGTTAGCGTGAATTTGGTGAAATTGCGCCTTAGTCTCTTCAAACTATAAGTGTCTTAAAAATCTGTGAAATTTTATCAGCATAGTAACATTTTTGTAGTATTTTTAAGTAGACTATTTCTTTTACTTTTTACTTAATATTGATTGTTTAATAGAGTCAGGTTTGAAGATATTCCTGGAAGAAGACAGTGTCCTTAGAGCACTTTTAGCATGCATGAAATCAGACTGCAAGATTGTTACACACCCTGCTCTCAAACTACTAGCATACCTGCTACATTCTCAGAATGTATACAACATTCAGGTACCCATGACTTTCTAAATACTTTAAGTGTAGTATTATCTAAATGACATATATAGTCTAAACATCCTGGTTCGCAACCTCGTTTGAATAAATGTAGTGTTACACGTTTGAATGGAATTTGATCAAAATATAGGTAGTGGTTTTTACTTGAGCTATCATGCTAACGGTCACACACACACTAATACTTACATATACATATGAACTTGAAAGGATGGTGGATGGTGTTTTTGGCTTCTGGGGACATCAAAACAAAGAAGTAAATCAGTCCTGGGTTTATTTTTAACCATGAGATGGTCACAGAGCAATCATCATCATTTTGCCGTGTACATATGACTATAGAAATAAATAAATTATTACCTCCAAAACCATAAACATCACTCAGACAAAATCTCAGCAAAATTATAAATGTAATTGTGTACTGTACCTTCGCAGACTCTTTCTTTGAACTTGATAAAGAAGCTCGGCTTGGCTTAACTCAAAAAACCAAGCTGCTCACATGCCTTCAACATAATTGACCTAAACTAAGCTTGGCCAACCAATCCCATGGGCCAACTTTTTTTATCAGGAACCTGCAGACCCCTAGTTTGTAGAAGGTAAATTTAGTCTGTTCCACTAGAAGGATCACACTTTCACTTGTTTACATTCTTGCATCTCACATTCTAGATCAGGAGTAATGGATATGTGATAGGCGCAGACTTTCTTCAAGTGCTGGTGGAAAAGTGTAATATCGATACAACTTTCTATGCTGCTGATCTCTTCAACAGCTTGCAAGTAGAAAACACAAAAATGCTCATAAGTCTTTCAAGCAACATGAGGATAAGCGTGATACACTCTTTGTATCATGCATTTTTGAAGATCTCAAGGAGGGTAAGAGTTGAAACTAAAACATTATGATTATGATAACTGATCATCTTTTGTTACGCTGACATTATACAGAGGGATTACAGATTACAGCAGATTATATTATCTTTATTATATTTTATATTTTTATATGGATTATATTTTCTTGAAATATTTAAGATAAATACAAACTACCTAAAATCATTTGTACCAAAAATCAAAGAAATATAAATTTTTTGTCATACTGTGGACAGTCTACAAGGAGTTAGAAAGAAATTTGGAGGGAGCAGAGCATAGGTATAAAAATAAAACTTAAAAAAACTTAAGGTCTTTTTACTTGTCAAGTAAGTCAAGTCTTCCTACTCAGACTTAGGACCTCTCCTAATCTCAATTTGAACTTGGACATCTCCTAATCAAAATATTAGGAAACACAAACCCTACTTCAATAGGCTTATCTTAGCAAAAACTGTGGCAATTAAAAATGAGTATTGTGTATAGTTTTAAAATTTGGGCTTGTTGAATACAGGTTAGTTTTCATTCCTTGTCTCCAGATAGTCCTGGTAACAGCATTTCATTTTTTAGCCATTGCAGATAATGGAAGCGAGCTTTAAACATAAATATTGTTACTAAAAATTTACTTCTTTAAACCAATATTATGTTTTCATTTTCCTTGTGGACAGGAGTCAAAAGGTAATCTTATGTGAGGAACACAAGCCAGCCGCCATAAAGCCATCACAGTGGTTGTTCCTCTGTGTATAGATCAAGTAGTAACAAAGTAGGCAAGGCCACGAATACTTAAACAAATAAAGTGGGTCTCTAAATCTAGGTACTGTAAAAAAACAACACACTTGCCATGCAAATTATACAGGCAAATCTCAACCGTACTTATTGCATTCTTTAATGAAATTTTCCTATGTAATAGGATTAAACTGTGTGGCAGAATAAAAACTAATAATTTTATTGTAAAGTAAAAATCTTTAATGAGAATAAAAAAAAACTCAGGAAAAAGATAAACAAACTAACTAAAAACATACCTAACAGCTAATACATCTTCAATATTTAAAATGTGGTTAAATACAGCCCTTTAATTCAGTTTGTGCCCTTAGGACAGGGTTTATCCTGGAACTTATATTTTGTTCGGGAAAGTTTTACATCAAGACCTTTCATTCAAGTATACACTTGATAGGAGTGCGGCTTATGGTTTTTGCAAAAGTTTGTGATTCTTATTAGCTTTACACGAGGTCTGTTAAAAAAGTTTCCTACCTTGTTCAGGAAAAGCATAATTTATTAATCAATTTGTTTTAACATATGATCTCCTACAAAATAGTCCCCTTGGGACTTCACACACTTATTCCAGTGCTCCTGTCACTTTTGGAAACAAGACTGGAACTCTTCCTTCCTTATGGACTTCAGACAAGCTGTTGAACATAGCATGCATTATTTGACGGCGGCATTATGTGTTGAGTGTTTCTACTGAGAAGACTGTGCCTTGGTTTTAGGATCATACCCTTACACCCACAACTCATCACAAGTTATAACTGTTTTGAGAAAGTTTGGCTTATTCTGAATGCATTCCAGCATGTCTTAAGCTACTTCAAGTCTCAATTCCTTTCGGTCATCAGCTTTGAAACAGATTTTGCAGCAACTCTGCATATAGCCAAATCGTCCGTCAAAATTGAATGAACTGAACTAATACTGATTCCAACTTCAAAAGGCTAGCAAAAGGCCGTACCTAGTTCTCAAACAGTTATACGTCGATCCTCCACCATAAAACTTGAACTTGATTGATAACTTAATCGTTTTGACTTGTTGACGGTCTCCCGGAAGAATAATGTTTTACCGTCCCCCAAAGTGCGGCCATCTTTGAATATGTTTGTTATAACACTCTTTTATCTGTGTTACACCTATAGCTTCTTCTCCAAAGGCTTGCTAAATTCTAAGAATTGCTAAAGCTTGTGTATCACCCAGTTTTTTGGAAAATTTCATGCAGGGTATTGCTCTTCCACCCGTTCCGTCATTTTACTTAGCACAAAAACATGACAAACACTACATACACAGTTTCACGTTTAGCAGCCGACAACGAACTGACGCCATGTCAAGGTCACATGACCGGTCACGAGACGTGCTTCACAGTTGCCTCGATCTACGCGCCAGGGTGCAGCTCAATGCGGTTGTTGGATTACTAGATAAAACGTAAGGTTGGATACTTTTTTAACTGACCTTCTATATAGTATATTAACATTGTAAATGTACTGCAGGACCTATGCTTTTATTTAATATTTCCTTCTGTCTCATTGTGAATTGTGAAATTGTATCCCCAGTAAGAGAGAAAATAGTCATTTTTTTTCTCCATTAAAAGTAGATTTTTAGTTATAGTTTTATGTGTAAAGCTTGTTGCCTTATCTCCAATGGTAAAAAAAAGTTGTTTCCAGACTTTTGAAGACCCTGCACACAATATTAATACTGGAATGAAAACAAGACAGAAATGAGTGAAATATGAATAGCAGTATAAATAGTCGAATTATCTTAATCAATAATTCAGGAAGTCCAGGCTTCTAAAGAAGTTTACATTCCTAGTACAATTACTACAACCCTGAATATGTAAAACAACAAATTACTCTTACATTTAACTAACTCTTCATTTTTAATCAGCATCTTTGTAAAGTAATTCCTAATTCCAATTATCAAATCAAATCACCCTACTTATAAATGTGTGTCTTGTTTCTTGTTTGATTTTAGCCTGGTGAAGCCACTGGCCTCTGCTGGAGATGTGGCAGCTTGTTGTTGAAGTATTGTCGTCTCTACGACCAAGACGTTGTCATAGGACTGCTTTATCATCCTGAGTACAAAAAAGGGCTTGAGTTGGCTTTCAAAAAAGGAGGTTAATTAAGAACATTAGTAGACCGTTTATGACTGTCTAATGTAGTCAGTCATAAATGGTCTACTAATGTTCTTAATTTATAGATAATTAAGTAGGATAAAGAATTATGAGTAGTTATTATCAAAATTAAATTCCCATTTTATTTGTTGCTTATAGTAAATTAGACAAAAAGGTAGTGCTTCCTGAAAAATTGTCTAAAGCTGGAAAGTGTTTTAATATCTTTTGGGAATTCCAATTTAGAGTCCTGGGAGGTTGCGACGGATTCTTACATGTGCTCAGATTTTGGGAGTAAAGAAAACTACAAAATTTATGGACCTTTTTAGTTTTTTGCTTACAACTCCTAAATGACGCATTCTACATACATTGTAGTTTAGTTATTTGTTCAAGCAGAGGAGTTTAAGCATCGGTTAGTGTTAAATATATCTGATTTGACACAGTAGCTTTTCAAAATTGGGTTATTTTAACTATCATGGCCAAAAAGTAGGCTAGATTTTTTGTTTTATTTTTGGCTTACAACACCTATATGACGCATGCTAAGAAAAAATGTACTTTTAATTAGTTTGAAGTAAGTACCTAAAATTATGTATAGAATGCTTTTTCATCAATTTTAATGCTTTTAATTTTTAATTTATCAAGATCGGTTTGGCTGTTTAGCTGCTTTGATTGTTAATCTGGTGCATGTCAAGTACTGACCGAAATTTTCTTGAATTTCAAAGTACTTTGCAAACCTTTAATAGAAAAAAATAGAAAAAAATATATTACACAGTAGGCCTACATTGTTATTTTCAGAGTAACACAGGGCTCATATCAAAATATCTACTAAAGGTTTTTGTAACGAAGTAATCTTATAATTGATTTTTATAGCCCCAGGAGTGCGTGACGTTATGACTTATAATTGTAGACGCACATCTTGTCAGACAATCCTCAATATGTAGGTGTTACATTTTCAAATAATAAGTAAATTTGTTCAGTTGAATCAAACTCATTCTTTTAATGTAAACAGAAAAACTAATACAAACAAAACAAATGCAAAATAACAGGTGATCATTAATTCACATATACATATGGTCTTAAGTCAGTACATCAGTTAAACACATCAATTCTCCCCTCTGAAATGTTTTGGTAACGTTATTTCGCATTTGAGTAGTTGGTCAACATGACGCCTCCAGACAGTTCCATTGTCCATTTGTACTTTATACAGAAGGTTGCTTTCCCTTTCCAATATCCTTCCAAAACTCCACTTGTCTTTTGAGTTTGAATAATTTCTCGCTTGTACTCTGTCTCCCTCCTTAAAATATCTTGTTGCTTGCTTCAATTGTTCAGTTTCTTGATTACGTGTAGGATGTAAAAGAGCTATGTGTGTACGAATCTTCCTGCCAAACATCAAGGAGTATGCATCACAGCCAGACGAATTTGAGGTTTGGCGTAACTGCATAAGCATTCTGAAGAGTTTGACGTCTAGTCTCCCTCCCTCGTCTTCCATTGCTCTTAGGGACTTCTTCACAGTCTGAACATAACGCTCAGCCTGCCCGTTTGACGAAGGGTGGTAAGGAGCAGTTGTTTTGTGCACCACCCCGTTTTCTGATAGGAACTGTTCGAAGATGCTAGATGTAAATTGACTTCCATTGTCAGAAACCAAAATCATGGGAAGACCAAATGTAGCAAATAATTTTCTAAGTTCTCTTGTGCAAAATTCTGTAGAAGTATTCTTAGTAGGTATTACCTCAATCCACTTAGTAAAGGCGTCCACAATAATAAAGTACCACTGTCCTTGCATTGGACCAGCAAAGTCTATATGCAACCTTTCCCATGGTCCCTGGGGAGCTAGCCATGGATGATTTTGTTCCTTTCTTGGTTCATTTTGTTTCAAACGGCATTGTTTGCATGATTTTGCCAATTGTTCTATATCTCGGTCAATATTCTTCCATGCACAGTAGCTTCTGGCTAGGGATTTCATTTTCACCATGCCTAAATGCCCGATATGAAGTTCATCAAGAACCTTCCAACGAAGGGATTGTGGTATTAGAACTCTACATCCTCGACATCCTTTGAATATACATCCGTCTTGAAGTGTTAATTCATTGTCATGGTACCCAAAAGCTTCCACTGATTTACCTTCTTGAAGTGCATGTAGTAATGGTTGAAGGTCTTTGTCGTGGGCTGTTGTCTTAGAAATTGTAGAACTACTAATTTGAAAGGAATCGAGCTGACTAAGTTGAAAAAGGCCACAGTTGTCCCTGCCTTTAGTTGAAGCATGCTCAGTTGGGAACCGAGATAAAAAATCTACGTTAGCATGATCCGATGTTCTTCTGTATTCAATTTTGTAGTCGAATCCAGATAAAAAGTGTGCATAATTAAATAATCTAGTAGCAGATATTGATGGTAGTGTTTTTGTGGGGCTGAATATGGATACGAGTGGCTTGTGGTCAGTAATCAGAGTAAATTTCCGTCCATAACAGTACGGGAAAAACTTCTTAAGCCCCCAGTAGATGCCAGTGGCTTCCTTGTCAATTTGGCTGTAGTGCTGTTCACATTTTGTCAAACTGCGTGAGGCAAAACTTATCGGTCTCTCACTTCCATCGCTGTAACGATGTGAAAGAATAGCACCAAGACCCACCGGAGAGGCATCCGTTGCTAGTACCAGAGGCAAATCAGGATTGTAATGTACAAGGACGCGATCACTTGCTAGTTCTGATTTGACCCTTTGAAAACTATTCTCGCATTTTGAGGTCCAATCGTAGCGTGCGTCTTTCTTAAGTAGTTGGTTGAGTGGGTGTAGGATTGTAGCTAAATCTTTTATGAATTTGTTGTAGTAGTTTATTAATCCAAGAAATTTGCGAAGTTCTGTTACGTTTTCTGGTCTTTTGCTGTTTAAGATGGAAGAGACCTTTTCCTTTGTTTTATGAATACCTTGAGCATCAATTATATGTCCCAGATATTGTAGACTAGTTTGAAAAAACTTACACTTTTCTCTGTTCAATTTCAAGTTTTTACTTTTTAATCTTTCTAGAACAACCTTTAATCTTTTCAAGAGTTCTTCAGATGTCTTCCCTTGTATAATAATGTCATCAAAAAAGCATTGCACTCCGCAAATACCTTGTAAAGTTTTGTCCATGAACTGTTGCCAAAGTGAAGGAGCAACTTTGACACCAAACATTAAACGGTTAACTTTGTACATACCTTTATGTGTACTCAATGTCTGCATGTTTGCGCTGTCCTCATCCATTTTCATGTGAAGATATGCGTTAGAAATATCTAGCGTGCAAAATACTTTTCCTCCGTTCATTTGAGAGTGGATTTCTTCAATTCTTGGAATAGGGTGGTTCTCATCTTTTATTACTCTGTTCAGTGTTACTTTGTAATCGGCACAAATTCGTACTTGTCCGTTTGGCTTCACCACTAGTACAATGGGAGTTCCCCAGTCAGAATGGTCAACCTTTGTTATAATGTTACAGTCTTCAAGTCTTTTTAATTCATTTTCAACTTTACTTTTAAGGGAAAAGGGTATTTGTCTTGGTTTTACAAATATAGGTGTAGCATCGTCAATAAGTCTATAGTGTCCCAGATACTCAGGTATCTCTCCAATTTTTCCATCAAAAACTTCCTCAAACTCACTGAGGATGGTATCAAGACTTTCAGGTTGTATTACGTTCACATTTTTTATCTCAGCCCAATCTATTGTCACTTCTCTGAGCCATTCTCTTCCAAATATAGCATCTACATTTTGGTCAATAAGGTGGAGTTTTCCTACAAATTTTTGCATCTTGTATGAGCAATGTACAAATGCCATACCCTTGGGTTTGATAGGTTCACCTGTGTACATTCTAAGTTCGATGTTGGTTTTAAATACTTTTGTGCGTACATTCAGTTTTTTAAATTCATCATAGGACATTGTACTAAGGGCTGCACCTGTATCCAATTCCATTGGTACAGTTTTACCTTCAATCGTTATGTCAAGAATGAATTTACCTTTTTGTCTGTCACTTAGTACATTAATTTCTTGTTCATACTCACTGCCTTTCTCCGAGTCATCTTGAGTCTGGTATTGCTTCAAATTTCTGTTAGTCTGGTTCTTTTCCTGTAAGCATACACTGGCTATGTGTCCAATTTTAGTACATTTTCTGCACTCAGCATCTATAAATTTACATTTGTTAGCTCGATGAGAAGGTGAACCGCATCTGTAACATTTCCCTTTTAGATTGTCAAATTTTATGTTGGGTCTCGTGCCGGTTTCTTGAAATGTTTGTCGATACAACATTTTCTTTGGCTTGTTCCTTTGATTACTATTGGAATCCACCCTGTTCAAATCAAGGTGTTCCATTGTTTTGCGACATACAGTTTTGCTCTCAGATTTAGCTAGTTCCATTGCCGACGCTTCGTTAACAATGTCTTTGTACGTGCGTTTCTCTCGTCCTTGAAGAAGTTTGGCTCGAATATCTATGTCATTCAAACCACGAATAAACTGAAGTTTAAGAAACATCTCTGCAACCGACTTTCCACAATCACAATTAAAGTCACAGTTGCTAGTTAATTTCTTAAGTGCTACTGAGAATTAATTTATTGATTCATGTTCTTGTTGAGTACGAGAAATAAACTTGTGTTGTAAAGCCCATTGACTTGGCTGTGGTTCTACAAAATCCTTTAGTATCTGAACTAACTCACTGTAGTCTTTTGTAAGTGGGTTTTCAGGTGCACATAAATCATAAAGTTGTTGGTGTAACTGTGGTGTAAGAGCGTGTAGTAGCATGTAAACTTTGGCATTACCATCTGTACTTAGATTTTTAAGGTGTAGGAATATTTCAAGTCTCTTTATGAAATTTGTAATAGTTTCCTCTGGATGAAAAGGTGTAAAATTTATACTACCCGACAATGTGGACCCGGGAATTGAACTATGAGTCACCTCAGATGGATTGCTAATTTGGTGAAGTGGTGTAGACCTAGTGTTGGAACATTCATTCTTAATCAACTCTTGAAGTTTTGTTGTAAGATTTAAATACTTA